CCGGCCTACACCCAACCTTATAGATGAGGCTTATGGGTCTTGCATTGTTCTACTCTTATTCTTCTTCTTTAGAATTTCCCTTCTGGGCACCGTTAGACAACAACCGGCAGACACAAATACGGCACCATTGTTCCATTTGTGCAAGTACCCCACAAGGTAGCTCTCATAAAAACAACAAATTTCACAAAACACGACATGAAAACCATGAGATTATTGTGCTACAATTTCTTACCTTTGATGAGAAGTAGATAGGAAAAGAAAAAGCAGGTGATTACGAATGCAATGGGACCCCAGTTGGCCAACAGGGCTATGTCACCATCCGTCCAGTCCAACACAACCTTGGCTAGAAATCAGATGATGAAGAATTAGGTTTAAAATCATGCATTACAATCAATGAAGCTTATAAGTAAATCGAAAATCTGATATTATGTACACAATATAATTCCAGATCTATAGGTAGGTCCTAGAATTAAAAGGAATCAAATTATTTTTACGGGTTAGAGAGGAATTTTGGATTATACACATGTTTACATCCCGTAACGAAGGATTCTGCGGTTACTGGGTTAGATCAGACATTTTCTGCTAACGCTGTCAGCCAGTGTTGTTAACTCGAGTCGCTGACTTGGACTCGAGTCGGACTCAAGTCACTACTTTTTTTTACTTGAGACGACTTCACTCTGGAAAAAAATGACTTGAGACTTGACTTGACTTGAAAATATGTGACTTGTGACTTGACTTGACTAGGACAAAAATGACTTGGTTACAACTCTCCTGTCAGCACAGACTGGTGAAATTGTGTGACAAACCTGTGTCTGCGATGGGACCCCATGTGTTCCACGTTGCTGCTTGCAACATACAAAGTAGCGAGAAGACGGCCAGAATGAACCACCTTGCTTTGTACACCACGTGTTCTGCTGCCATGGGCTTTCCCCTCTCATTCTTCAAGCTGTTCGTCACAGGAGATGGGGTCTCCGCACTAAGGCTGTCCCCATTGACAGTATTGTATTTGGTCAAGCTTGGGTGTGAATCCTTGGGTGATACGTACGACAACAGGGCGTCGGTTTCTGCCATGGTTACTTGATGTGTTCAATTAAAACTAGTGTCGTGACTAGCGGTCTCTCAACCTGCGTGGGATTTGTTGGTAATATCAGGACATCTGCACCAGATGCAGCAAGGGTGACATTAATTAAGACGTAGCGACTGCCTCTGCCTGCAGCCTGCCACATCCTTTTTGCAGGACCCTTGAAAGAGGTGGGCAGTTCATAACCTGATTACCACCCACACGCATGGCACGTCACTGAGCTGAAACTGAAAGAATTGGAGAAAGTTTTAAAATGTAAACAACCGGTTAGAACAAAACAAAGATCAATTTAAGGAAAGGAAATTAAGCCGCAATAGCAAGTCAGGCTTAGTCAGACATGCTAGGCGTGCATGTTGGCACAGTCGTCTTAGGACCAAAAGATAGAGGGGGCCGGTGGACACTGCACTGTACTACTATGATGAAATAACTATACATGTATAGCCTTGCGCCTAGGCCTACACAATCGCCTTGTTGTGCCCATTCTTGAAAATCACGCATTCTCGAGAATGGGCATGCACATTCTTGAGAATGTGCAACTGGATCCTTGCTCAATCTTGGCAAAAAATAACTCTTCCAGATTGAGCGCACATTCTTGAGTATGCGCGACAAGATAACGGTCTTGTCGATGCCGAGCACCGGCTGCGCTTGGCAAGTCTAGCTGAATCCTCGTTCACTGATTCTCAATAATTATACTGTTGCAACGCAAGGCGCTGAAAAGTAGAGTGGAATATGATAACTAAAGGCGTATTGATATGGGGGGGGGGGGAGCGGGAAAAAATAAGAGACATAATAATACTAGTTCGAAGAATTCTGATTTTTGGGATAATAAAAGCGGGGGGGGGGGGGGGGGGGGGGGGACGTAAGAATGAAGAATGTGAAGAATGAGAATGAATACTGCGACATCCCATAGTGCTAATGCTATTTCCCATTTAAATTGCCACCAATTTATTGTTCACACCCCACCATAACGTCGCAGAGCTGGATTCTATCTAGTCAAAAGAGCAATTTTGGCAGCTTCTGGACATCGTTTTTTTTTCGTGGCACGCATATGATACATGCAGGGACTTGTAACTTGTTTAGCCTAAACAAAGCACTTCCCAGACTAGTTCCCAGTCCTCCGTTATTACAAAACTTCCCATAGTGGGCAGAAAAAAAGCAATAATAACAGGTTTAATTTGATTCAAATTATCGTAGTTTTACGAGTACAGAAGCATAGAACATTTTCTTTCCTCTTTATATGAATTGTTTCCCTTTTAACCGCTATACAATTCATTTAACATAATTATGTCGTGCAATGTTTGTTAAGATTGGGCAAAATTCATAAATTGTGCACGTGATATTCCCACCCAATCTTAAGAATGAGCACTCATTCTTAAGAACGCGTGCTCGTTCTTAAGAATGGGCGCTCATTCTTAAGAATGCGCGCCCATTCTCGAGAATGCGTGATTTTCAAGAATGGGCACAACAGCCTTAAAAAAAGGTTGAATGGCCGGATCACGAGATTCGTACAGAATATAGCACATCATCTAAACATGCCAAACAGCAGTACGTAGGCCTACCGTGTGTACAAAACCAGTCCGAGGCCGCCCTGCGATTCCACCGTCCTTCACAAATAATTAATTGCATGTAGGCCCCTAATTGTAATAAGATATTGTATTTGCCGAAGCTTTGGTTACAAAACACATTTAGCAGTTATTTTAGTTCAATGTGTGGAAAGAGTATGACTATTTGAATGACGGAAAACTTTGACATTTCGTCGGATGGTCGGATCAACACTCACACAGCCGCGCCTGTGCTGTACCGTGCTGCCTGCGCCGCGCCTGCCATGCTGCCACTAGTATCTTTAATAGTTGGACCATCCCATTATTAAATGGGTGAGATTGCTCAATGTCAAGCGGTTGCCCAAAAATTAGCAGTGTTGTACAACTCGAGTACTACACGCAAGCACTCGATCGGCCTACTCGAAAATTATTTGGACTCGGCCCGTATTCGATTATTTTGGCACGGACTCGTTGGTTTTGGACTCGGTACTCGGCTCCAGTACTGGTACTGGGAGTACAAATCGAATTCATTTTTGTTCAAATCGATTCTATACTACAGCTCATCCGATCAGGAGCAGCAGCGCGTGCATACGCAAATGCCAGTATTTATTCATACGATATATGGTATTATTTGTACTTTATGAACTTTTGTATATTAATTTTTCGCGATCCACATTTTTAAACGTAGTAGTTTTTGCGCAAAAGTATTTGCTTTTATATCTTCAAGGAAGCCACAATCCAGCTTTGAAATATATTAGTTGAACTCTGCAGCAAATATATACTCCTTTTTTTATTATTCGTACGAAACGAAGTAAACGCTAATAGTGCAGCAAACTAATCAGATTTTAGCAAATGGTTTTGATTAAAGTGTTTGCTTAAATTTACAACGTACTCATACAGAACTGATGCATAAATGCTGAAATTTCGGTAGTAAAAGCAAATGGCCATGTTTTATTCATACCAACTGGTATCATTTGTACTATATGAACTTTGTTAATATTAATTTTTCGCGAATAACATTAATAAATGCAGTACTTTAGTTGCGCAGAATTATTTGCTTCATAATTTCAAGGTTGCCCCAACCCAGCCTCGAAAAATAACAAGTGCATATTTGAAATCTGAAGCGTTTACTTAATAAGTAAAGTGAAATTCTCGAGCACAAAATTAAGAAAAATGTACGGCATTAGGGGCCTAAGGCTTTGCAAGGTGTTAAAAAATGTTATAAATTGTTGTTATATTAAACAATGGCTGCGTTGAGTTCATTTGGATGGAATCTTATTTTCTTTTCTTTTTCTCTTGTTATGACAATAAACAACGATAGGCTAATTATGTCAAATTTGTGATATAATACTAAAGTACAATCACTTTTCTGCCCGGTGTGAGTCGTATTAATTTATGACTATCCTTACAAAAACTGACATTCAAATAAAACATGGTAGTACAGTGGAACGCTGCTATAACGAACATCACGGGATCCACAGAAAGTGTTCGTAATAACGATCGTTCGGTATAGCGATTTCTATTTAACCAATAGTGAACTAGCATTTCTCACATCCCGCGGCTGCACGCGACCAACGGGTGGTTTTCCCTTTTATTCCTTGGGGAAACACTAGCCATCTATCGCTCTTCAACATTCAAACACAATATATAACTATGGGTCGTTTGATGTTCAGGCATTAAAAGTGGCCCAAATAACGTTGAATACAACCGGTAGATTTTTTTGTTAATCTGTTGACTTTTTACAACAACAATGTTCTGTACGTTTTGTACATTAAAACCGGGAGCCAAGGATGATGTTCGGTATAGCCGAATGTTCGGTATAGCGGTGTTCGGTATAGCGGCGTTCCACATTCAAATAAAACATAGTAGTATGTGAAAGAATTGATTTCTAGTTGATGTGTTGTGGTTTTTTTTCTTGTTAGTGTAACAATCGGTGTTTAAGTTTCACCATAATTCACGGAGCGCAATTAATGCACATGTAAATGGGATGGCCCAAATAAGGCAAAACACAGCCCACTGCTAGATTAAATGTGTGCGTCCGTTCGGCCGGTCAGCCCAAGAAACGACAAAGTTTTCCTTAAAAAAGCGTACTCTTCACACGTATTGAACCAAAACAAATAAAAGCTGCAGAATATGTTCTTAACCACAAGTTCCGTAAATACAATGTTTTTATTACGATAAAATACCTCAAAATAACTTGCACGTGACGGACCATGGAATCATATGGCGATCTGGGACGATTAAGTCCAGTTTTGTACACGTACAATTTTCATCATGCACTATTATATTGGAGTTGCCCCCTCTGCCTACAGTACGAAGTCCGCATTCACAAAGTCAATATTAAATAACACAGCACAATGAACAGATAAGTATTTTTACTGTCCTGCCTCTCCCGTGATACACCCTGGGCGATTGTGTAGCTGTGGGCTTCTCTCACGTCGTTTTGGTCCTTCACTCCAGAATGACTTCTGCCACCTAAAGTAAAAATAAGTATTCTTTTTAATGAACCTACATTCCAAAGGGCACGTAGGGGGCCTATTTGAAATTTTGAACAGAATCTTTTGTTAGAAAATGTAATATATTTTTTTTTCAGTCGACAGCATGCGAATCTATGGTTTTGTACATTATAATTTAGACTCAGTAATTAACTGGGGCGCATGTACTGCTTTTATATTTTTCTCTGGTCATGTTGGTCGGTTGTACCAGCTATAGCAGTTACAATCCTGGCCAAATCTCGCGGGGCCCCCAACCCCCGGCCCCCGCTTAATGTTGTCTCTCAGTGCGCGGTGTGTGCTCCATCAGCTGGAGAGAACAACATTGACCGGGGGAACAGGGGAGTGGGTGACCGTGGGAGGCTACGGTTATTTCCAAGTGTCCCAAACACTTTGGCCGGGATTGTAGCTATAGTTTTATAGCGCCTCATACCTGCATGGTCTAGATGATATATATTTCAGGTTTGTCGCGGTATATAATCATCATCTTTAATTTCGTGTTACATTTTATCATCTGCATCGTCGTTTTACCCAAACATTTCCTTCAAAATATCCAAACCCTGCCCTAGTATCCACGATATTTTTGTTGGCTTTAAATATTGCTGACTATAGAATATAGTTGGCTGAGTTTAAGGGGTCCGTACACAATCGCACTAACCAGCCAGTGTGAACTTGATAAAAAAAAATTGTTCTAAAATTTAATAATCCCTTTTCCTCTTAGCTCCACTTGGTGTAATGGATCGGAACTGCCGACAGCACTTCCAACAATGTGCAACATTAAACTAGGCCTAAACAGTCCTTATGTACGTCAGTCAGCAAAGCGTATGGAGCATCGGAGCATGGTCATCTGAGCTGAAAACTTGCTATTGGTAGCCTGATAGACAAGCCTATGAAGCCTTGTCAAATAGGCCTGAACCAGAAACTGATTGGTTGGTAAAAGTGTCATTTTCAGAACCCAGACTAGTTCAACTCGTTACGTTCTCTTCAAAAGGTGAAATTACTGTCAGACGTTGGACATTCACAGACATTTATCACGTTTATCTCAGAACAAAATATCCTCTGCAAACTGGTGCGTCTTAATAAGTGGCACGGATCACCCTCCCTGCTTAAGGTGCACTAGTCCTGGGAATCAACATATTTCAGGCATGATAAGAGACCGGTCATCAAGATACTAAGTTTGCACATCACTGACCAAGAAACCATGGCTGAAACCGACCCCCTGTTGCCCAGAGTTTCAAACTCAAGCATCAACAAGTGTGATTCTGTCAACGGAGACATCCTAAGTGCGGAGAACCCATCTCTTCCGACGAAAAGCTTGAAGAATGGAAAGCCCATGGCAGGAGAACACGTAGTGTACAAAGCAAGATGGTTCATTCTGGCCGTCTTCTCGCTACTTTGTGTTTTGCAAGCAGCAGCGTGGAACACATGGGGTCCCATCGCCGACACAGGTTTGTCACTTGCAGATATGAGATAGAATGCAATGATAGGCCCAATTTCATGGCGCTACTAACCACAGAAATCCGCGCTTACAATCACTCTGCTAGCCCAGTAAGCACAAAATCCTTAGTCAAGTTACGGCATTGAGATGTACATTGTGCGTGTACGCCAAATTCCTCGCTATAACCATGACAAGCTCTTTAAGAGCTTTATGAAAGAGAAATATTAAGAATTGAATTTATAATAATTTAATATCAGGAGTGCTCAATAATTGTAGACACCATAGAAAGATTATAGTTGATGATTGGATCTGGAGCAGTAATTCTTTGTTTTTCATCTGATTTCCAGCCAAGGTTGTACTAGACTGGACGGATGGTGACATAGCCCTGTTGGCTAACTGGGGTTGCATCACATTCATTATCACCGCTTTTATGTTTTCCTATCTATTTCTTATCAAAGGTAAGAAAACCATCGCACGATGATCTCATGTTTTTCATGTGTTGTTTTGTAATTTTTTTGGTCGTGATTTTGTTGTCCTATACGTCTGAGGACTTTCAGGAAAGTGGGTTACCAACAATAACAATAAACCCTAGGACCTGAGCCCAAGTCCTGGGAAGAAAGGGGAACAATAAAGGTCCTCAGAAATATATATAGTAATACACGACCGTGGGTGAACGTGTGTGGGTGGGTGGGTGGGGGCTATGGGGGAAGTTTTTCATTGCCAGGCGGACCGAGTTGTGGGGACTTTCTGCTGTCCCCATAGCGTCTTCGGTCCCCATAGTACCATGGGACAACTCGTGTGTAGTCCCCACAGTTACGGAACAAGAATGTGTGTTTTGTTTTGGGTAAATTTGAAAACGATTTTTTTTTTAGTGCAGATTTAAGACATTAAATTGTTTTAACATGTTTTAAGCAAAAAAAAACAGAACTAATGCAAGATAATTTGTAAAACATTTGTTTCATTTTCTCATCCTTTATAGGTCTCAGGTATTGCGTCTTATGCAGTTCCTTGATCTTCCTAATGGGAGTCGCTATTCGGTGCATTCCTGTCGGTATAGAAAACGTGAAGTGGTAAGAAAAATTAGGCAAGGCAAAAAAGATGTGTTTTTGTTTTCTTAAATATGATTTTTTTTTTTTAAGGAAGATGCATGTAAAGTCGATATGGTAATAATAATAAACACTTTGTGTTGTCCTCGGGCTGGCGAAAAACAATTTACAAACTTACTCGAGACTCGAACCCACGACCCGGCTTGCTATAGTAGCGCAGACGTCTCGCCACTCGACCACCGAGCTTGTCGGGTCGGCCGAGGTGATTTTAGGCCATGCTACTTCTACCTTTACTATTGTTTTCAAAGATTTAAGGCCAGTTTGTTTCTTCCAGGACAATGAACGCTGGCCACATTTTAATTGGCATAGCTGGTCCCGTTATGATGTCAGCACCAACTGAATTATCAGCGGTCTGGTTCCCGCCTCACCAACGGACCACCTCCACGGCTATATCTTCTACCTCAGCATTTTTTGGCATGTCCTTGTCGTATCTGGTGGGGCCGTTAGTAGTCACAAGTCTTCCGCCAAATTCAAGGTAATTTTTTTTCTCATTTTATTTGGTCTGTATTTGAAGCCATAGGTTATGAGAAAGAGGAAAACATTTTTTTTTAAAGTTGTCTTTTGGTTATGAAAAGTTAATTTCTTTTTACGAAAAAATGGATATTTGTAAATTCAATTGTATTTTAAAATAGCATATTGTGTTATTTTTTTTAATTGGCCGATTCCCTTCATCCATAAAGTTACAATGTGTGTTTTGTTCATCAATAGAAACAGAACACATCTACCACATTGCATGATGTATTTATGTTTGATTGAAGTATTATTAGTAAACTTTTCCACTGAAGGTCCCGACACTTTCACCATACTTGTTTAAAGGCAGAGTCATTTGCAGCTATCAAAAAAGTAACTGACGAAAATACTTGGTTTAAAGATAGTAAGCACCCTTCTTCAGATTTTGTCGCTTTAAACGAAAACAAACTGCACAAATGACAAATGATGCACACCAACTTTAATTTTATTTCAGTTCAAATGCAGAATCCATAGACCCAAAGGAGAAAGCACTGTACTTCAAAGAAATAATGAAGTTAATGTACATAGGTATGTACTTACTATTGTCTTTCAAAAACGTCAGAGGACTTCTGTTAAGGCAAACAGAATTTTGCTGGAACAAAGGTCCTACTATATTCCATGTCAATCCAGGCAATCACGTGTCAAGTGATGTCACCTTCAAGGCGCACTTTTTAATGTCTCATATTATATCGAGAGAAGTCCGACTGCATTGAAACTTTCTTTGCTTGTACAACGTAAATAGGGTGTTAATGTGTAAGTTGAAATGACATCATGGTGACGTCATCAACTAATTTGTTATTGTGATGGATTTTTTAATTTCAATATTTTTTCACCATATAATACAAACAGAACATACTGATTTGTTTACCATAAGTTCGGCATGTCAATGTTAAAATTGTGAGCAAGTTGTCCGGCGTTATGATATCATCAATACTCAATAGCACTAAATGTGAACATGTAGGCCTTTAACGGAAAAGCCAGTAGTTTCTGTTCATGAACAGACATATTGCTCTAGTCTTTGTGTGTTTTTTTTTCCAGAATGTGGAGCTGTGGCCGTCGTGGTCATCGCGGCTCTACTGTACTTCCCTGAGAAGCCGCCAACCTCACCCAGCTTATCTGCCACCAAACCTCGGGAAAGCTTCAAAGATGGAGCCCTGAAGATAATCAAGTAAGTCTTGAGACAACTGTCCAAAAATCTGTGAAAAATAAGGAGACAAGTTGGAGCGCGTTGTGCACACTGGCTGCGCGATGTGGCGCAGTGTCTAGGACTAGCCAGCCTGTGTTTTATCAACCGTTTACGTTCGGCCACGTGACTGGCTCTTGACCTATAGGAATTGGTAAACTGTCCGTTTGAATGTCCCTGGGCAGACAGAAAACTGTTAAGGAAGTTGATGTGCTGAGCGTGAATTAGCTGATTGTAAACCCCTGATCCTCTGATTTCAAGTCAGGATAGCCGACCTTTTTGTCCATTTCTTTTATTTTATGTTATCACAACCGTTAACTCTTTATCAGCTCACGAGTAAAACAAATATTTTTTAAATATTTGATTGAAGGAACATACATTTTTGGCTTCCTGCGGCAGCCTACAGCATATCAACAGGAGTTTACGATGGCTGGAATACGCAACTAGACACAATTTTCAAGACTACTTTGAACATAGGACAGGTAACAATCCCAGTACTAAAATGTTCTTAATTGATGTACGTTTGGCCGAGCAAAGGTGTGCCCCTGTCCAATATGCCATCATGTTAAATGTTATGTGTTTGTTGAGTTTTGCTCAATTGGTGCTTAAAGTTCAATTTCTAATATAATTTGGTCTTGTTTTATTTCAGGAAACTGTTGGTTGGATTGGATTCATCTCCAATATTGCCGGGATGCTGGGAGGCTTGATAGTTTCAAGGTGGGTGATAGAATAACGTAAACGATATCATTTCAGTAGAAATATTATACTCTTTTACTCGCACTTTATTCAGACAATATTCAGTATCACATTTCATATTAATATGAAAAAAATTGGAAAGGAAATGAATATTTTTAAGAAGGTGTGGATGAAATAATTATACAATGAACGTGAAAACACGAAATATGCACGTTGGAAATAACAACACCAAATACACGATATAAATCCATTGCTTTCCAATTGTGGTAACGAATTAGGATACAGGAAGAAAGTTTCCTGTCCAGGGCCTATTGGAAACGAAGTCGGGAATGAAGTAAGCATTGGGGACGAGGTAGAGGCCCTGGATGTGAGACCATAGCTTTTGACAAATTCTGGTCTTAAACTCTTGTTGACTATTTTATCTCTCCTTCTTTGTGTGACTTCACCAGACTTGTAGACATCCTTGGCGGTAGGATGAAGGCAGTATTGATTTCACTCACCCTGGCAGCCTTCGTTAGCTGTGTATGGTGTGTTCTACTCTCAATGAAGTATATCTCATACAGTTTAGGTGAGTAACATGAGATAGTCTTGTAAAACAATGTAATGCACAGTTTTGCTTTTGTGGCCATGATGTCACCATGGTTACACAATCTCCACAAGTAACGTAAGGTCCAAATTTTCCTTTCAACAATGGAGTGGATATATTCTTTTATTGTCTGGAAAGATTGTTAAATTGTAGCAGTAACTCCAACAACAAAATGAAATATGACAGTCATCCAGGTTTCGCCCAAGTTTTAAGGTCATACCAGACAAACATTACAACTTCTTTTGAATGTTAGTTTGAGGAAATTGTTCAGTGGAAATTTACCCATGATTGATTTTGGTGATTTTTGATTGCAGTGAGCGTCTACATTGCATGTATCTTCATTGGACTTTTCATCAACGCCTGCGTGCCCATATACTTTGAGATCACGGTCGAGGGCATGTATCCTGTCTCGGAAAGCAACATAACAATGGTGCTGACATTCATGAATAATGTGACTGCTCTGATATTCCTGTTGCTGCCGATGATTCCAAATCTAAGTAAGTTCAAGATTCGGAAATGGGCTTCTTGCGTAAACAAGACAGGATGGGTTTTTTTTCTGTCGAAAGCCCATGGACGGCCACACCGCATATACACGTAATTCATGCCCGTTTAAATGCGAAGTTCGCCGCACGACTATTTTTTATTATGAATGTGCCTCAGAAAGCCACATCATCTTCGCGTGACTGATATTTTCCGCTTTGTTCGCAGGTGTGATTTGGATGAACTGGCTCCTTCTAGGTTCCGTCTTCGTGTGCTTGCCTCTTCTCATGATGTATAAGGAGCATTACAATCGTCTGGATGAAGATATGACGGAAAGTATATCCAAAGAGGATAACAAATGATAAAGTATTCTTCGAAGGCTGCGCATTTTGAAATAATTTAGAGTTCGATTATTCTAAATGGGACAAATATTCGTAATGAGCTGATCAAACTTAATGTGCACCGGCCTAAACAGGCTGCAGATCCGGATTTGTATGCGCCTGCATTTGTTAATAATTGACAAAGAGCTTATTAAAATCAAGGGCAGATCTAGAACACAATTTTTTGGGGGGCCAAAAAAAAATTTGGTCCCCCCAAAAAGTGGGTCAAAAAAATTACGGCGTGGGGTTCGGGGCCCGCTTAAGGGCCCCGAAAAAATGTTGGATTCTAGATGCTCTGTGGTGCGATCTGAGGCAATTTCTGACCACTTTAACCAACGTTTTTTTGAGGAAAAGATGGTGGTGTACTCATTGCCTGCCTTTATTGCGATGTCACATAAAAAAAAAAAAAATTGGTTTCGGGTTGTTGTTTTTTTTGGGGGGGGGGGCATGGCCCCCTTTGGCCCCCCTGGATCCGCCCTTGATTAAAATTATGTTTAAAAAGGTGGCAAAATGACTGATATTTCACCAATTTTAAAAGAAGAAATTTGAGGTAATTATATCTCATGCAGCTCTGCAATCATGCGCAACATTGGCTTCTGACAAACAAAAAATCGCACAACTACAATACTTGGACTAAAACAACACATTGATTTTTTTCTCCAGACCACTCACATTTTTCGAATATTAGAGGCAAAAATAAATAAATGCTATACTCGGATATTCTATTAATGATCACATATTTAAACATTTGTATTATTCTCCAGAGCCCTTCCAAACACTGTGGCCTCATGGTCAATGTTTTTTCTGGCAAGAAGTTTTTTTTAATCATCACAAGTTTCTCTTATCAAATATATTTATGTGCTTGCCAGTGAGATGTTGCACAAAACAAATCTGCATACAGTATTAAGGAGTTATAATTTGATTTAACTTTTGAATTGGAGTGACTCGATCATTCCCACGTTTTGACAGTATTACTTTTATATAACCTCGTAGACCTTGTAGTTTGTAGTATATCAAGTTTAATGCAGCATTATCTAATGTAAAAATACGTGTCCCCCCCCCCCCATAATTAGTGGACATGTGGGCGACTGACAATCTTTGAAAACTCGTATTAACCTTGTATTCCCGCGTACTAAGTCCCAACCAAAGAGTAATATTGAGGGCATAATTTTGTTAAATTATTTTTCATTATTAATGTGTATAATGCTTTAAATTGGAAATGCTGGAATTTCAATGACTGTATATCTTATTCATATTCAATGACTATATATCTTATTCATATATTTTATAAATTCCAAACAAGTATTATATTTTTGTCCAATTTCTTGTCATTCCAAAATTTCTGCATTATGCCATTGAATTAAATGTAAACAAGTTACAAGGCAGTTTGACGTAATCCTTTGGTAAAATGTTGAGAAGTGTTTTTTGATTATTTGAATTATGATTAATTGGATTTTCTTTTGTAGAACGTATGTGACAAATTTTGTGAAACTTCAAAACTGTTTACTGAACTACAAAGAAAAAAATATATATCCACTGGAAATCAATTCCTTCAAATGTTATACTTAAATGTCAGATATTTTAATGATAGTACAAAATAAGCATGAAATCATATGGTTGGCAGAAAAGTTGCTCTTTAAACAAGTATTCACGTTTTGTATATTTTAATTAGAAAAACACCTTCTTTTTCTGTTTCGACGCCTGCAATATTAAATTGTTTAACTTTGTGTAGCTATTGCTCTTCAAAAGCATCCAAAAAAAAATATGCGGATGAGTTACTGTCGGGTCACAAATAATTCGAAATTCGTTAAGCAATTACTCAACAACTAAACGTCAACTTGGTAGATATCTCCGGTCAATGTCTCCTATTTCTTTCCTGTCTAAAGCCAAATACCTAAAAACCAATTCCCATATAAAGCGGCTCTATTAGGGTTGAATCTGTTTCAAAAAGTGTTCAAGATCTGTCTTTGGATTGATTGTGGGGGCTGTTGTTTTCTTTGTTGGCCTGAATATGAACGATGCTGAAAGAACACATTTCATGCATCTCAAATTCATGCATCCAAGTTTGAAAGGAAAATTTAAACAGTTCATTAGGTTTTGTTTATGAAAAGTATATATATAATTCTTCCCTTATTTTCAGATTCTATCTTTGGATTGATTGTGGGGCTGTTCCCAGCTACAGTGCTATACTGGGTCAACCCATGGTCAGGGAAGCAAGCTTCGCCAAGACCCGGTTACAAAAATCTCGTGAATAACATCGCAGCTGCGCTGTGGCAACTACCGTCAGATGTTAAGCTGACGAGAACAGATACTCTCACATGATCTTAGCCACGAAGGCCGAGAAGCGATGCTATGGAACGGTTCTGCTCGATCTTTTATAGAGAATTTTGGGACCTAAACGTTTTGTCAACGATACAGATACAGACGTGGGTTGAACGTTTTAAGCTGACGCAACGAGCACGCGTCGGATGCGATGACCCATTGTACCGTAAGTGCAAACTACCTTGAATTTTTTTTTAACGAAACGCATTTCATAATTTTCAACGGACATTTATCACCAACATTCAGTTTAATTTTTTTTTTTTGCCATGACATTTCTTCAACATATTGAGATCAAACAGACGCATATTCAATTTTCAACCTTTAATTTTCTTTGGCTTTAATTTGGGAATAATTGAAGATAATATTACCTTGTGCCGAATTATGCGATAATTACACTCAAAAAGTAAATTTAAAAAAATCACAAAAAGTAGATCTTTTCGTCGTTGCCGTTGTGACAATGTGAGTTAGTGAGCAGATAGTGGAAATGTCAGAAGTGACCCGAAACCACATTTGTTACAAGCTGTATAATTATTCACTGTTTATTATTAACCGGACAGGATGGCTACAGACAGGTTGGTTGAACTTTGACTATCTAGATAAGTTGGAGTTGGATCTCTAAATTACAACAAGCAGAAAATGACCAACAAAAATCAGAACTTTTGAAATGAATTGCTGTACATAGATGATCGGAATACCATCGAAGACGTGAGGACACACTGCTAATAAAGAACTTAAACCTGACTGGGTGTTGAATATACCATCAAATTGAACTCCAGAATATTGGTCATTAATTTTGAAGCGCTATGACTACTATAAGAGAGACATATCTTGGAGGCAAGGCTAAAATGAAAGCGAAGACTGACCGGAGCCCAACATGGAGATGGGAACATGCCCAAAGATTGGGAATGAGACCGTGACGGAGGCAGGAATACTTGCTGACGACAGGCAAAGTTTTCGACTTATAGGCGACGTTTCCAAAAGACAAGCCAAGATGATGATGAGTCAACTTTGCTTCAGTTGTTTACGCTTGTAATGTATCATTTACTGAGGTGCGCATATACATGTAATACACAAAATTGGGGTGCTGTCGAAAGTCACTTTCGGAATATAATAAGTCGGAAGTAACTTGAATTATTTCATACATCAACAGAACAATCGTTTGGTAGTGTGTTATGTTGCATCAGCGAAGCTTGCATCCTCATTACGTATTCTGTCACCCGCGTCATACGTCAGAGGATTACGGGATGGTGACGCCCACAAACAAAATGTTTCTGAAGCGCACAATGACGTCACTATACGAACAATCGTTGACTCAACGTCGCGGTGCGTGCTTACGTTTACCAGACGTTTTGTCTCGTCTGTCCCTATATAAAGGGGAGCAGAACTCATTTTAGGGCATCGCTTCTCGGCCTTCCTGGCTAAGATCATGTGAGAGTATCTGTTCTCGTCAGCTTAACATCTGACGGCAGTTGCCACAGCGCAGCTGCGATGTTATTCACGAGATTTTTGTAACCGGGTCTTGGCGAAGCTTGCTTCCCTGACCATGGGTTGACCCAGTATAGCACTGTAGCTGGGAACAGCCCACACAATCAATCCAAAGATAGAATACGAAAATAACCGAAGAATTATATATATTGTTTTCATAAAACAAAACCTAATGAACTTTTTAAATTTTCTTTTCAAAATAGGATGCATGAACTTAAGAAAGTCCTATAATTTCTCTAAATGTGTTCTTTCAGCATCTTCACATTCTGGCCAAGACAAAACTTAAAATCTAAATGAATCCCTCCGAAAAACACGCTGTTCACCGGTCTTTAAAAAATCATCAATACAATTACCACTACATGATTGCAATCATCATCAAAAGACAACATAATGAAATAACAGTACATTTTCTTTTGAACAAAAATCTCGATAGAGAAATCTAATTACATCAATCTACACTTCGTATACAAGCTATGAAGTTATATGCCAGAATTTTACAAAGATTATACAAAATATACTCCATAATGACAGCCTTAGTGAAAATGCACTCCTCTTTCCTCATATTTCATTCCGAAAATGAGTATTATGAGCGAACACCCGGAAAAATAAGAAATTCAGAAACAGGGAAGCGACAAAGTAAATGCAGAAGTTAACTTATTTCACTTAAGGTGGGTTTTATTTTGTTAAACCAAACTATCCTTAACATGCACCGAGAATCTGATTCACAAAATTTACTCATTATTCTCCAAGACATGATCATGATATAGTCCTGTAGATTTATCAATTTGTGGTGCTTCCTTACAATTTAAAAAAAAAAACCATGATTACATTCAACATGATTCTTTATCTATATCTTGCTAGAATGTATTATAATTCCTATCCCTGAAAATATTTTCTCTGAAATACTCTGTTCTTTAATTATAGCTATTATATCCAACAATCGAATCAAAACAATTCTAAAATTTGTGGCAGCCTGAGCAAGCCTTGAACTAACCCAGACACATTGCAACAAATATTGCAACTGTACATAGTTGCTCCCACAATGTGAGCTTTGTTACTTGATCTTTGTTACCTGAAGTTTTGTTGTTGTTGATTTTTTAGAAATTCCTCGCATGTCACAAAGTATTTGACCTACCTTAGTGTTCAATCATTCACCCGTGTCATGTCAAAAGTGTGAAGACGCCCACAAACAAAACGTTTTAGAACCATGCTATGACGTCTACGAACGATCGTTGACTCAACGTTTTACAGTTGCGTGCTTGCGGTTACCGGACGTTTTGCCTCGTCTGTCCCTATATAAAGGGGAGCAGAACACATTTCAGGGTATCGCTTCTCGGTCTCCTGGCTAAGATCATGTGAGAGTATCTGTTCTCGTCAGCTTAACATCTGACGGCAGTTGCCACAGCGCAGCTGCGATGTTATTCACGCGATTTTTGTAACCGGGTCTTGGCGAAGCTTGCTTCCCTGACCATGGGTTGACCCAGTATAGCACTGTAGCTGGGAACAGCCCCACAATCAATCCAAAGATAGAATTTAAAACATAATTGATATTTATAAACCTTTTTATAAGGTAAACTGCATTCATTGTTTTAATTTAATAACACGCAGGGCTGAAACTTTAAATGTGTTCACTCAACAACATTCGAAAACTTCAACGTTTTTGCCAACAAGACAGGAAATCTCAAATCTAAATGAATAGCTACCTCGGACAAAAGTGGCTCTTAATCAATTTTTTATTAATAGAATTGCAACAACATTGCGATCATCTGAGACAACAGAGTGAAATAAAAGTAGTTTCTTTTGAATAAAATTGTTATAGCGATCTCTTATATCCATCTACACTTCATAAGTAATATTTCAGACTAAAATACAAGCTATAAAGTAATATGCCAGAATTATACAAAGATTATACAAAAATATTTCCCACGACCACCTTATTGAAAATGCGTTTCGTTTCTTCCCTCCAATATTTTTATTCAGACAATGATAATACTTAACGGGTTAATACACTATTGTGACAAACCTCACAAAAATATGAAATTCAGAAAAAGGAAAGAGACCGTATTTAACATACAGAAGACATATTATATCACGTATTTGGGTTGGTTCTTATTCTGTTCAACGACCTAACTATTCTTAAAATATACCGAGAATCCGAGTTTACTCATTATTCCCAAACACATGATCAGTGATTTCTCAATTGTTAGTGCTTTCTTACAATCTCGATAAAATTACATTCAACACGGTTCTTTATCTAGGTATCTTGGTAGAATTTGTAATATTTATTAACCTTGTGGAGCGGTATAAAACGCTCAACTCCAAACACATTTTCTCTGCTCTGAAATACACTTTTCTTTAATTCTAGCTATTATATCCAATCAAATAAAAAAAATTAAAAATTTTGTGACAACAAACCTTGAAACAAACCCAAACTCCAAAAAATATTGGAATCTTGTACATTATTCCCAAGATAACTGATTGACATTGCATTATGACAAAGTAATGTGCGCTTTCTTACCTAAACTTTTTTACATTAGAAATTCCTTGCATTTGTTACACAGTGTATGATAAAATGATCTTAATAAATTTTCACATTGTACACAGTTAGCTGTTTGAACATTTTGGCAATAAATATTAGACTCAAAAATTGCCAACATTCTTTGCTTTACCAACAGTTTTAGATAAACTCATTTTTCAATCTATTCCAAACAAACCCAGAATACTACTTCTTTTCTTTCGGGAAAGCAAATTTTGAAGAAAAAAAATATCATAATCTACTTAATAATACAAACTTGAATATTTTTGTTTCCATGAAACTTATAGCATGCGGTACAAGATACACACTCAGAACATTTGATACTTTTAGAGTTATCTTTAAACTCAGTAAGTATTTGCAATATTTTTTTTTCCATTTAATACCTCAATAATTAAACGTTGGCACTGTTGCCTACCTACTATGTGAACATAAATCTCAAAGTTTCAAATCATCAATAAAGTTTTAAGCATGACACACTATATATCTTCTTTAATTTAGAATTTCTCTACAGATTTGCTGCGCCACTCCAGGAAGTAGACGTTCCCCAGTTTGTCTCCGCATATGAGCTCCGTGCTGTCTGGGGCCGGGGATGCAGTTACCGTAGTAACGGGAGCCTTGCAGTAAAACTGTCCCACCTGAAAGATACAAAATTATAAACATCAGTCATTCTCAACATTCAAGACAAATAGGAATCTATGATAAAAATCTATAATTTTTTTTAAAATTTGGACAATGAAATTGACTAAAAGTGTATGGCTTCTGACAAGCGTCCTTGAATAAAGACATTGAGAAAATGGGAACTGCCAACATAGGGCTGGATAGCTTAGTTGGAAAAGCACCAGAACGGCAATCCGGAGGTGGCAAGTTCAAACCCCGCTCCAATCAATTTCTTTGTTGGACTTTCAAATCATTATAATGCACTTACAATCCCGGCCAAAATGGTTGGGACACTTGGAAAGAACCTTAGCCTCTAACGGTCACCAACTCCCCCGCTCCCCCGGTCAATGTTGTTCTCTTCAGCGGATGGAGTACACACCACGCAATGAGAGACAACATTGAACGGGGGCCGGGGGGTTTGGGGCCCAGCAAGATTTGGCCAGGATTGTAGTCACTTTCCCTTGTTTTAATTGATTATAATAAGAAAAAAATTATAATATTGATGTTTGCTTTGTTTGCCTCCTGGTAGTGGTGGGAACATTCACAATTTGGGGAGGTCAAGTTTAAGCACACCGTACCTGTTTCAGGTTCTTTCTAGACCACAGCTTGAGGGCGCTGTCTTCTGAGGCCGTGCAGATGACATCGTCGCAGACAGCGATATCATGAACCGCACTTGTGTGAACCTGTTTTGAAGAAAAAGATGGCATGTTGCTTAACTTTCAAACCTCCAAAAAAATTAGTGACTGAGCCCATACACAAATTTGATGAGGACAAAAAATATGTGCATAGTCAAAAAAGGTAATGGGCCAAAAAACTCCCAATCTTCAGTGCATATCACCTGGGTTCTCAATGGAGTTAAGCTAAACAGTTCAATCTGCTTAGGACTGTTTCCTGCTTAGACGCTCATGACATTGGGACCTGGTCTTAAAATAATGTGCATGCATGTAAGCTTTTCTTTATAATTACTTCGTGCCTGGATGGAAAAATAACAATTTGCTGGCTAGCAGAGTAAACTGGGGAAAAAGGGTCTTGCCACTTCCATCCATTATTAATATTAAATTGTAAGATACATTAATTGTGACGAATGAAAGAGTTTTATTTATCAAGGGCATTTTAAGATTTAGTAATCAATAAAAAAAACAACAACAACAAAACAGGCCAAAACAAAAATCATATGAGAAATTTTGAGAGTAATACAAAAATGATTATTATATTATACAGCTAATCTTGAAAGTTGCATGAAATGCAATCCAAATAAGCAAAGGTCTTTCGGCATACCTTTTTCCTGGCGATGACTTCTTCTGTCACCACGTCACATACCGACAGGTAGCCCTTGGAATCCCCGGCCAGTACCGCCTTGTTCTTGCCGGTCGCCTTGTCCCTTAGACCCAGGGTCTTGCCCCCTCTCAGCTGGACTCCCGCGCAGGCCTGTACCCAACAGGGCTCCTGGTAGCCCACGGATTGCTCCGCGGTGGTGGGGTCGATGATGCTGAACTTTGTGCTTCTGTCCAACTCCTGAAGAAGAAAAAGCAGAACCAGAAATTTGTTTTAACCTCTTTTAAAAGCTCTTTCTTTTGGTTTATTTAAACCTTTATAGGTAAAAAGACCTTTACGGTAAAACCTCAGGAATTCTGGCTTGAAAAAAGGATTCTTTAAAAATCCTGAAATCAGAAGAAAAAAATTCTGACACAAAATCCTGAAATCGAGAACAAATCCTGACAAATCTCACCACAGATTTTAAAATATAAATTAGTTAGAATAAATAACAAATTTAGGATCACAAAAGATGGCAACTATAGTTTTAAACTACATTTATCTGCCAAATAAGTAATGATTGATGAACAAAAACTGTATGAAATTGTTTTCATTAAAAAAACAGTAGTCGGGTAAAGAAAAAAGGGAAAAATATGACAGCAACTGCACAGCAACTTTGTGAGCCACAAACCCAAGTTATACTTATGAGAAAAAATTCAAAAGCAATTCCTTCCTTTATGATCTTTTCCATTTCTAAAAAAATGGAATTTTCTTCCAGTTGACAGTAAATACGTACCAGGTTGTTGAAGTGTTGTATCTCTCCATTGGCAAAGCTAGCAACTAGGGTGTTATCACTGAGTATCTTCAGATCCAGAATCCAGTCTGATTGTTCCTCTGCCCCTCTGAAGAAACAAGATTTTATAATGACATTACTCCATTTCTCTCTTTTTTTTTACCATTTTAAAGTATCATGATTTTCTTTTGCAAATAAATTATCATCTTGATGAAAAGGGTAATATCTTCAGTAGGAAAATATCCTCCATATTTTCAGTATGAAAAAATCCTCCATATTTTCAGTCTTAAGTGGTTTTCAAAATTCTTTCGACTTGTTTCAAAAAGTTGCAAGTTTTAGTTTACTATTTAACTATAAACAACTTAAACAGTCACTTGGATCCGCCTTATTTAAATCAAATAGTTGCAAGGAACAAAATAAGTCTATTGACTAGTTTCTAAAGCGAAAAGGATCTACAAAGAAGTAATAATGCTGAAACAGATATGAATAACAAAAAGAAGTTTTGTTGCACCTATGAGACTCCCTTGACCATTGCAAACAAAATTCCAAACTACGTTACGAGGGCGTTTTCAATTCTTTGCAATTTTAACAACTTAATACCATGAAAACATCAAAGTTTCAAATACTCTTAATTTTTTTTTTCAAGATTTTTATACTGCATCTGAAAATGAAGAAATTCTAGATGAAAACTGAGATTACCTGGAGTAAACCCGGCGCAGTTTCCCAGAGTCACAGCGGAACATGCAAATCCTGGCCGCCCAGTGACCCGAGTAGAGGTTATCTCTCAAGGGGTCATAGGTCAAACAGGTGACTGGGCTGGCGTCATGTGTGCTGGAATTCATAGTCTTCCGATATCTGAGGAAACACAGATAAACAAACATGTAATAGACAGTCCATTAAATACTTAAGTTAGTTACTTCTTCTCTCACTCGGATTAGAAACACCTTGAAAACAATTTAAAAACAAGTACAAAACGATTAGTCTTGTAAAAATACAAAAGGAACCCTGATTCCTAAAAGAAGAACCATTGCCTTCTTCAAGTTTAAGGTTTGACAATAGGTACTTGTAGAAACACTCACTGTACTCTCCAGACTGTTGCAGGTGGGGTGGGGGCTTCTATCTCCCATACTGTCACGGTACCCTCGTCAGAACCCAGAGCAAACCTGGTATTACCCAGGAAGCAGACCGCATTGATAGACTTCTCTACCAACTGCAAAGAAAAATACAAGTGTTAAGTTACATTTATACAACATAACATGGAAGAACACTACAAGCGAAGTACAAAAGTGGCCGATAATAAAACTACAAATCAATCAACTGTACTATTTAGGTCATCAATATTAATGATTGATTCACATTGTCGACTGTGATTTAGCAAACTTCACCTATTTCAGTGTTGCGCTGACCTGAAATGTATTTGGGGCAAGATAAGGTCGACCAAATAGAATTTAGTTTTAGACAGGCAAACTAACAATGTATTAATTATCCATGGAGTAAACACTGGAGCGTTTAGGGAAACACAACATATTTGATTTGTTACCTTGCTGGAGAAGATCATCTTGGGCAGCGTATCGGTGGATGAGTGTCTGTCAGGCATTCTCCAAACTATCACTTCGCCATTCCTGCACAAAATAAAATGTTGGGAAGAAAAAGGAACCTTAAAAGTTGAATTTGTTTAGCTTATGTCATCAAACCTACACTTTTGACAACCTGTCTAAAAGCAATTTGCTTGATTTATAAATCAGTTGAGAGATAACCTGAGCAAGCAACAGCTAGATAACACTTAGTGATATCATATTTTGAAAGGCTTTCAGTCCATGCAACATATGTGTATACATGCCTACTACCTAGTGCCCGTTGTCAGGCCACTCAGTTTGGCGTAAAAATAGGCCACTTCGATATTTCAACTGCGCATGATTACAATGACGGTCGCATGACGCTCGCGCATTGACTACTAGCAGAATGGGAGTGCGTGTAACACTGCAATTACAAGATGCTGCCATTTTATCCCGAACGAACTTTGACCTTGACTACATCAACGAGATCCTGAACTGGCTCATTAAGATACACTGAATTTAACAACTTGATAATTCCGTCTAGTGAGTAGTCTAATTGTGCATTAGGTATACGTACCGGCTTGTGGAGACCGCATATGTGCCCTTGGCAGAGAACGCTGTGCATGTCACTTCTCCGTTATGGCTGACAGACAGGATCTGGGCCTCCAACTGTAAGGAAAAAAATCAAAACAGAAAAAAGATGTCATCCTTGCCACAGTTAAAGGAATTATTCAAAGGCAGGACTAGCAGGGGTAATAATCCAAACTCAGAGCTCCAAGGTTTTGTGACTGTTACCTTGGGTGTCCAGATCTTGACCGTTTTGTCCAGGGATCCTGTGATGATGTCACCCTTACCGGACACGGCTACGGCCACAACACTGTCTGAGTGACCACTCAGTGATGCCATCTCGTTGCCCTGGAGACAGAATGAAAAAAAAAAATGCCCATTACACATGATTCCTACCAATGTTTTTTAAGGTTCCCCGAAGTACCTAAAAGTGGATCCTAAACACATCTCAAAATATGAGACATATGTCAAAATGCAATGCGAGGTGATTATTTGTCTTCCCTCAATACATAAGTATGGAAAAATGAACAGTGGATCTATGTGGAACTCGGTCAAAACGGTCAAAGTGATAACCCAAAATTTAACATCTACTCTCACTGATGTTACATCACAAACCCCAAACAATAATACACTCTATGACTAACCTGTAGAGGTTTCCATAGATGCGTCATGGCATCATCGCTGCCGGTTGCTACGACGACGTTCTCCAGCCGCACCATCTCCACCTTGTCCAGTTTCCTCTTCTCATGTTTGTCCTTCCATTCTTCTTGGGCCACCATACTGGACCACGGCTGGCTGGGTGCAGCTGAATCCTTCACGTCCAAGTCTTCAAAGATGTCTGTATTACAACAACATGAACGGCAAGACTTTAAAAAAAAAGTTGTCCCCAAAAAATGTGTGTACCTTTGGAAATGGCTGAAAGGGGTAACGAGTTCAGTAAAAGAAGTATAGAACACCAACTTATTTGAAGTTGTAAAACTGATTCTTGAGATTTTTGATTTTAAACTCCTGCAGCTGTGTTACAGTGAATAAACAGTCCAGTCATGAAAAAATGGGATGAAATAGGTTTGAAAGATGTCTGACAGAACAAAAAAAATTGAGAAAGGTAGCACAGGACTTACAGATTAAGATTCACCTGGAAACAAAAAATCGACCACCCCTCCAAATTTTGACTTTGCCCCACTGTACAGCAAAGTGGCAATTTACAACTTTAAGCTTATTTCATAATGACAGGTCACATTATGTTCCGAAAACGTGGGCCATGATTTCCAATTTGCCTATGCTCAGGATGGTTTGCAACGGTACAGGGAATTACAGGGAGAGCAGTTTGGTTGGTACATGGTGCCATTGTTAATCAAACTTTTTTGTCCGTACTTACTCTCACGCTGTTTTGCAGACACAAAGATATCACAGCAGTTGACTCGACTATTGTGTCCATACAGAGTGGTGATCTCAATGCCCTTGTGGGACCAGACGCGGACAGTGCCGTCAAAACAGGCCGAGACAACACAGCCTTGCTAAAATGGGGAAAAAACAAGTAAACAAATGAACCACAATGGGACTCAAAGTGGGTGAACATTTTTTCAACAATGGAGTCCACAAAAGATTGTTTAGTACAGCGATTATTTGTTATTGCCACTATCAGTCGCAACGCTCCGTATGATTGTAAATAAACTTCAAGAGCTGCTGGGGTGTTCGTTATTGACTCTGTGCATGAACATAGAGGGCGCTCTACTTTCGAGCGCCAGCAGGATGGACACACTGCGTGCGCGTACTGGTTTGTGCAGGTATGGCCCGAAGTACATGTAATCAATTTTAATTTTAATGAGCACAAGCCTGTAGCACCTTAGCATGAGCATCAGTCAGCATCAGTAATGCTTTCCCACCAAGTGGTCTCCCGCAACTCTCTCATTCTTACCGTTGAGGGGGTACTTGTGCATGGAGTCCATAGCCTATTTATGACCGATATGGTTGTTCATTTATGACTGATATGGTTGTTTTGTGTAAATAAGAGTAAAGCTATCGACATGAGCAAAGATAACGACCAACGCAGGATTTTTTGACATCTGAATTGGCTCTTGAATAAGAACTTGATCAAACTGGAAAGCTTACACTGTATGCCACAGCATTGATGGCGCTAGTGTGCCCCATGAACTGGTATCTCTCCTTCATGGTCTTCATGTCCCACAGTTTCAGGGTGAAGTCATTGGAGGCAGTCACCTATCAAAAGGGACAATCGTAATCAATATTCTAGTCAACATGAATTCTGTGGTTTAAACCTGAATCTTACTTAATACTGAGGTTAAAGACCCTCAAAAGTCCAAAGCACATAGAACTTTCTGCGAAACAGTGAGGGATGATTAGTCCAGGTTCCTAGCAAATGCAAATTAGAAGTTAAGATATTGGCAGATTCCCGCTATAGCGATTAGACGGACTTACGACAGACTTGTGATGGACTTACGACAGACTTAACAGACTTGTGATGGACTAGTGATGGACTAGCGATGGACTAGTGAGGACTTGTGATGGACTTGTGATTAGTCAAGGTTCATAGCAAATGCAAATTAGAAATTAAGATATTGGCAGATTCCCGCTATAGCGATTAGACGGACTTACGACAGACTTGTGACAGACTTGTGATGGACTTGTGACAGACTTAACAGACCTGTGATGGACTAGTGATGGACTAGCGATGGACTAGTGAGGACTTGTGATGGACTTGTGATGGACTTGTGACAGACTTAACAGACTTGTGATGGACTAGCGATGGACTAGCGATGGACTAGTGAGGACTTGTGATGGACCCATGATGGACTTGTAAGGATATGTGGAGACTTGTTTCTTACCAGGAAATCATTGCTATCAGACCAGCATAGAGCAGTGATCCAGTCCTTATGATGGGCTTGTGATGGGTTTGTGATGGGATTTTGATGGAGTAATAAAGAACTTACCAGGAAATCATTGCTATCAGACCAGCATAGAGCAGTGATCCAGTCCTTATGATGGGCTTGTGATGTGTTTGTGATGGGTTTGTGATGGGATTGTGATGGAGTAATAAAGAACTTACCAGGAAATCATTGCTATCAGACCAGCATAGTGCAGTGATCCAGTCCTTATGGCACGCATGTAGCTCAGCCAATGGTCTCAACGTCTTGCCTCGTGCACCACTCAAATAGTCACTCTCCATACTCCAAACCTGCAGACTCTGTACAACGAAAAAAAATAAAATAGACGTGTCGCATTATGAATATGAATGTTCAAGCCAATAAAATTGAGGACTACATGAATAATGAAACATGTTTTCCAATATTAAAAGGGTTGTTTTATTGACAAGCCTTCACATAGAGTTGAACGGTGGAAAAAGAGCAGTCACATTGAGACTTGATTGTTAACAAAAACAAGCAAAGTCCACGCTGTAAGATATTTCCTATATAACTTTTTTTGGCATTAAATTTTTTTGATGATATACAAGGGAAGCAGAGGTCAGAAAAATGTTTTGTAATGTTTATCATACCAGATGTCTTCAGCCTTTATGTTTTGCCATTACCCTTGCTTAAACAGCACAACAACTCTCTCGTGTTGATTGGTTTTATTGAAATGTTTGATAGTTGAGATCTTACCGCATCTTTGCTTCCCGTTGCCAGTCTAGTGCCATCCATGCTGAATCCACAGCAGGTCACTGTGCCGTTACATGTAGCGTGAATCACAGCGTGGCATTCCAAACTGTGCAAGAAAAACAGACAATTTGCAGATTTAGGATGCTATTTGTTGTTACACTGTCTGTGCTCTTTTGGCATGGTATCACAAGATGTTTTAAACCAAATCGCTATTTTTTTTTAAATACACCAACTGGCTTTGTTTCTCAATGATAAATAGAAAACACATTAACTCATGATAAGTAACAGCTTTCAGATTTAAGATTTGTGACAGGTTTGACTCGGCTACTTAATCAAACAAAAATAACCAACAGAAAACATTGCATATGCTTTCTTGACAACAAACGCTTCCCCTGAATCGAAATATTTATAACAACAAAACATAAGAAACTTGACTAATTGTCCACACTTACGTTTTTTGGCTGGACTTGCGTTCATACGGCACACGCCATATATGGATGGTGTTGTCTGTGTAGGTGACTGCAGCCAGACGGTTTGGAGTGCTGTAGGCCAGACTAGTGACTGGCTTCAAATGGGATGCCAGGGTGGTATTGATGGAACTTTTTGTGCCTGACAGAAGCTGGGGTTTATAAGAAGGGGGTAAATCAACTTATGACTTCTCCAGATGCCTAACAGAGTCCTGCAGCTAATTTTCACAAAACCTCATGCAACTCCTCAACAGTTTTTGAACGAGCCATATATCCATTTAATGTTGAGCAACTATTCAGTGATGACACATTTCACAAAAGTTTTGCACTGGATAAGTCCACAATTTATTCCACAAGTTTCTATGTTGCCTAAGCAGGCATATTAGGTGGTGTAAGTTACAGTGTACCAATTGTAAATGGTCAATTTTACAAACTAATCGTTATCGCTGCAGAGCATATATCGCTGCCAAACTTATCAAGAAGTCAAGGGTTTAGTTTGGAGGTGTATGAAGTGCTTTTTTACTCACGACAAAATGTTAACACTTGCTCTCTGACTCTGAATAAAGTCAGACAAAACCTATTTTCAAAATGGCGGGTTGAGCTGAATCAATGACAGTTACTGATAACAGCTGTACAAAGGCCGAGTTCACCTTCTTTAAAGATGTTCAAAATATTTAAACCTAGCATATATAAGAGGGGGGGGGGAGGTGCTTGTACAATTTTTTTTCAATGCTGAGCCTTTATGAGTATTTAGACTGAAGTCTTGCCGACACCATGACAACAATTTTTAAAAAAAATTGATATGGACTCGCGAAAAATTATGTCATATTTCCTGTAGGGCTACCAAAATATCTTATGTTTTGCATTGAACATGCACATAATGAGACACCTCTTATTTTATGATGACCAAATGACCATTTTTTTTCCTATTTATAAAGAAGAAATATAAAAAGATTGAAATTGTCCTTACTGAGGCAAACATTGCCTTGTTGCACTCACCATGACATCTCCTGAATCCCACCCTACCAGCAGCTCCAGTTGGCCTGCTGGGGTCATGACCCAACGTAACCCCATGACCCTAGCCTGCCGGTGTGCTACCTCCCAGATCTCGGCCCCGCTGTTTGTCTCGAACAGCCTGATGCTACCGCCATGGTAACCCACGGCCACCTGCATGCCATCGGGACTGATGGCGGTCGCTGTGACATGGCCGTAGCGGTCCAGGCCAAACGTGGACAGTTTACGGCCGAGGTTTCCAGACCACACCTGGAATTTAAAGTAGACAAAAAGAACCTTCTCAACAAATTGTTTTTTAATCCTAGGCCTGGATCTTTTATCGTGGATCATATCATTACCATTAACAATCAAGACAAAAATGTGCCCAGCTTTTCAGCCTAGTTTTTTAGACCACAACTGCAATTTTTTTGAAGCAGTCACTTGAAGCAGTCAATACTTGCAACAAAATGGTTCTCAAGCTTCAGGTGAGGCAAAAAGCTATGGACGTATGCACAAGGTTAATCGGCAAAAATGTAAATGTTCACATGTCAATCCTTAAAGTGGCAGCAGTGCACAAAGCAAAAAAACAAGCATCAATTACAAACAGAATAGTGCCAATGGCAATTTAACATGAAAATAAACTCATAATCTGAATCCTATAAACTCATTCCTTACCTTGACTCTCTGATCATCACTGACAGTTACAAGTTGGCGTCCATTTGGAGAGAAAGCCAGACGGTTGATGGGCATCACATGACCATCCAATCCTCCAACCTGATTGGTTGTTTAAGAAACAAAAACAGGAAATCTTAACAGCCATACTTTTACAAAGTGATTAAACCTTTCCTTTCTTTCTTCTTTTTTCTTCTGAAGTTGAAATCTAGAGTTCCTAGTTCAAAGCCTGACAAAACCCACACAAAACCCACAACGAAAAAGTATGGGAAATCTCTCTTACTCAGGCAGGAATAGAAAACCAATTTTGTCATAAAGGGAATGCCCTTTTGTGTCAGGAAACCAAATTTGAGAGAGGTAAAAGACCACAGAAGCCATAACAAAACTATACAGCTGACATACCTGGTTGCCAGTCTTTGACGACCATATTTTGACTGTGCCATCCAGAGATGCTGAAGCAATGTGTGCCCCGCTTGGGGAGTATGCTACTGCACGGACTGATGCCTTGTGACCTCGCAAGATCTACAAAACAGAGAAAAAAGCTAAGCTTAACCGACTGTTGATAAATAATAATTGCGAGGAATATGTGTAACAGTAACATTTCAAAAATATTTCAGGGTACAGGAGGGTCCACACAGTACCATTATATAGGTGGGGGTAAGGGTAGGGGTGGGCCAGGAAGAAGTGGGCCGGGAAGGGGTGGGGGAAGGGACGGGGAATGATGTGAGGGCACGTGTGGGTTGGCGGGGTTGGTGTGGGTGTTGGTGTGGGTGTTGGGGTGGGAGTGGCTGCGAGGGTTGGGGTTGGGTAGGAATAGGGGTGCAGGTACAGGTAGGTTGGGTTAGGGTTGGGGTTGGAGTGGGCATTGGGGTGGGGGTGGGGTTAGGTTAAGGATGGGTGTAAGGGTAGGGTTGGGTGTAGGGCTGGATTTGGGGTTGGTTGGGATTGGGGTTGGGGGTTGGGTGGGGGTTGCGGTTGGGGGATGGGGTGGGATCAGGGGGATGGGGTGGGATCAGGGGTTGGGGGGGAACACACACTCACCCCAAGTCTCTTCTTATCTTCCACATGCCAGATCTTCATGGCAGCATCCCAGCCCCCAGTCACCACCATCCTGCCCTCAGGATGGAAGGCCACACAGTTGATGGGGGTTGTGTCACTCAGTGAGCCTATCTGTCTGCCGTCGCTGTCGTCCCACAGCTTCAGGCTGGAGTCCCAAGAGGCTGAGACGATCATGGAGCAACGGCTGCTATGGCAACAGGAGCTGACGCGTCGTCTGTGGCCCTTCATGACCGCAATCCTATTACATCGAATGGAATCAACAGAATATCACAGCTGCTATGTATTCATGATCCTGAACACTTCAGGATTTCCCTTAATTTTCAGTCGGTTAATAAAATTTAATAAAAGTACATTTTGATGAGACACATGCTGGCGTTAGGAATTTCCCAATGAATGGAAGGGAATGTACACTTTACTTTGAGTGTCACGCCCGTGGCCTAAAACAGCTGTAACAAACAATCGCTATAGTGAACATTCTTTTGTAAACCAAATTGTGTTCATTACAGCGACGTTCTACTTTAACAGTAATATTTTGATGTTTACAACCGAAGGGCTTAAAGTTATGCACCGAATCCATACAATCATATACTAATCTTAAGTTTGGTGGCCACAACAATAGCTTATTACGTACCTGTGTCCCTGATTGACGTCCCACAGACTGAGTGTCTCATCCACAGAGGCCGTGACCAGACGCTGTCGGCCTACAAAGCAGCAGTCGGTGATTGCGTCAAAGTGACCCACAAAACTCCTGGCCTCCTGGTGAAAACAAACACAACAGAGCAAATCAGTGAATAAGTAAATGCTGGAATGATAGTAGCGTTGACGTTTTTGCCGTATGTTTGAGACAGACATACAAAGAACATGATGGCAGAAATATTAGGCATTTTTGATGACAACTTTCCTCAATCTTCAAAAATCTTTTAAAAGTGTGGGAACTTTTGATACACTCTTTAAATTCAAATTTTCAAGGCGCAACAAGTCTCATGTACAAATGCAGTAATAATGGCTTGCACAATTAAAGTTTTGCTGAAGTCACTTTAGCTAATGAAATTTCATATCTTGGAGAAATAGAAAAAAATATATATTTCTTAACTTTATACCACAGCACTGTTTATTTGGACTTAGAAACTGCGCAGATTAAACTTCACACAAACAAACAAACACATAGTAGTATACAAAATAAAAAATTGATGAAAACAATTTTGTTGTTTGTGATCATTACGTATGGATTTTACTGTATTTAACCATTAGCGCTTGTACTACACTGTATTACATTGCATTTACTCCTCGATGAATCAGGAAAACCGTAGAGTGTTTGGGCCGGCATAAGGGGTAAGAGGCAGGGTGGTTTGGGGCAGTGCAGGGATTAATGGGTTAGATCTGTCCTTGATATCTTACCTTAGCTGTCTCACGCTCAAACAGTTTCACTGTGCAGTCTTCATTACCGCAAGCCACAAAGGCACCGTCGCTTGAAATGGCCAAACATGTTACAGCCTGCAATAAAATATACTATGGCTGATTACATGGCCAAAGTATCTACTTTTTAACTTCATGGTTGACATCCTTGTTAAATCAACCTACAGTTATTCACCTAGCTTTCCTGTGCATTACCAGAATTAAGACAATACAATTGAAACCAAAAAAATATATCATTTTTCACACAAAAATTCCAACTTTAATCTCATGCGATATAAAATAGACAGTAAAAACAGCTGCATCTGGGCGTGCAGGGCGATACAGTTCTACACGCAGATGTTGACCTCTTCATGGAAAAAAATTATCAAGCCTGTCTCCAAGATATGAGACATTTTCTGATCACAACAGTCAAGTTTATTACTGCAAGCATACTCTTGGCTAGAAAAGAATTTGAAACAGTATGCAGAAGCGAAAATTGATTGTGCTACAGTGAAATCTTGATAAGTCAAAACCTGCTAAATCAAAAACCCTGCTAACTCAAAGTAAGAACTTATTCCCGTCAATTGTTAAAAAGAAAATCCATTTGCTAACTCAAACTCTGCTTAACTCAAAATTTGAGCTCATTCCCTTGAGGTTTGACTTATCGAGATACACTGTATTTCATTTTGTTCAGGTAGTTTTGGGGTCAATCTTTATCAGTTGAAGCTGTTAAGGTTTTTTCTTTACATACTCCAAAAGTCAGTTTCAAATAACGGACTAATATAAATACAAACAATTCTGTTTTGTATTCACCTGAGTGAATCCCGTGATGGTCATTGCGCAATCCTCCTGCTCCTCCCTCTTGTTCTTCCAGACCACCAGACTCTGACGAGAAGCCCCGCCCCCGCTGTCAATCATGCCCTTCATGGACTGACAGACGGCCGATTCCGACGGCTCATTGGCCGCTTGTTGCCAGGTCAGGGCCGGCAGGTTGGAAACGATGTGCAGGTTGCGGGACACAAAGGAACGGAATTCCTGTAAACAGATTAAAAAAAAACCCCGTTATCTGAAAAAAAAGTTCAGATTATGGTGCTCTTCACGCAAGGTTTGGGACGGGCTGGATGCCCAGCAAAACATTCATGTCACCCTGCTAAGGTTTTCCAACCCAACTCAATGTTATACTGCCTTGCTACTTTTTACATAATCTTATTCCATTTCAGGTTAAAAAAAGAAAGAAAAGAATACTACCTTACAATTGGTTCTTGATCTCAAAAAAATTAAGTGAAATCTGAAGCTTTAGGCGAAATAATTTCACAGGGTATTTGGTACTATCTCTATCTTCACTTTGAACAAGATTTTTCTCATCAAAATCATATGTTCCTTTTCAGGTAATTACAAATGTTCCTACGTGCCTTTATCCATGGTTCTTGAAGGAACCTGCCTTAAAACGACAAATACACTTGACCCACCTGCACCTGCGGCTTGGCCAGAAACTTCTCCCTGTCCCTAAGAGCAGCTCTGTTGGTTGCTGCTGCCCCAGACCCACTATCCCCGACAAAATCGTCCAGTAGCGTTGAGGCCAGACCCATCCTACACTTGGCGTAGATGAACGGCAGGCTGCACAGCGCCGACTGCAGCTCTGCGTAGGCCGCGGTGCGTGAGAGGTGATAGGAGACCTCGCTGAAGGCGCGCGGCTTCCGACCGGCCCAGGAGCAGTCTCGCAGAGGGTCTGCCTCTTGCAAGAAGTAGCCTACAATGAAATAAAATTGCAGCCTTATTTTACAAATTAAACATCGCTGAACCCTCCTGCTGTCTGAGCAGTCAAAGACTGTCAAAATTTTAATCAATCCCCCCCCATGTCTTTATACACAGGTTAGTTATTAACAGTCAGATCATATTTTTAGTTGTAACTGTTTAAATTCCATCAATAGACAAAAGCAAGTAACTGGCAGGTATAACTGGCATATCAATCACCTACAGTCAAAGCACAGTTGTATCAAATTCAATAAACTGTCACAGCCAGTCGAACTTGCTTTATGTAGGCATAGGGTTCCGAACTGTAAACACTGTCATTTGATTGATTTAACTGCTGAGATGGCTTTCAATTTTATCAGCAAGAACAGGGCTACTAAGGGTAGGTATAAGCTCCCTGAGGTACTGGAAGTTGGCGACGTAGTTCCCAAGAAGCTGAAAGAGCCCGTTTATCGACTCCCGATACCAATGGGAGCTGATACTGCAAAACAATATTACATTCATTTCCATCAATATTACCACAGTAAGTCACGTTTGCCACAAATGCAGTCTCTACTAACCTGCAAGCAGCGCATGTAGTCTGGCTTCAGACTCTGCCCCAGAGCCCTTCATGTAACGCTGTCTGACAGCCTTATTGATGTCACCGTGGGCCAGGCTGAGGTGGTTAACACTGTGAAAAACACAATGAGATATTGAATTCATTAACTTCCCAGGGACTCCATGAACAAGCGCACTTTAAAATTTTGAATTACTGCTTGGTTCGACTATCTAATTGTTTGCATATCTGTACACGAACAACTGGATTGCCAATGACTGTTACGGATAACTAAAACTATGCATACGCATATCCCTTCACATGCGAAACCTGTTAAACGACACAACCTTTTTTTCAGATTGGTGTTTTGAAAGAGATCTAATTCCCTCTTACCTCTGTTCCCCGACAGGGCGCAAGAACCCCTGCAGGCTCCTCAGCAGCTGAGCAAAGACAGCCTGGGGCAGCATGTGCTCAGCGGTCAGACGGACGTTCTTGATGTCTTCAAGACGATACTTGCTGCCTCCCAGAAGGGTGTGAAGACTCAGGAGACTGTGCAGCTCATCCTCAAGGAGACCTGGATAAATCCGTGATGAAGCAACATCATGTTACGGTTGGAAGAAAGTAAGAAGCGTGAAAAGTTGACTGATTTGACGACCTCATGAGGCGAAGTGAATGGAGGTAGTCAAATGAGTCAACACAAATAAATCACTAATTTTGCCCTTCTTCCCCGAAATAACCATGTAAAATCACAAGTCAAATCACAACTTTACAAGTCAATCACAAGTCAATCTCAAGCCAAATCACAAGTTCATAATGAGCGGCAATGATCTGAAAAATGAATTGCCCTTTTAGAGTTATAAATATAAACCTTATTCTTAGTTTAAAAACTGATAAGATTTATACCAATGCCTACTTACCGTCTCTTGCACACACCAGCAATGCCAGGGCTGTAGCCAGTAACTCCTTGCCATGATCCATCTCCAGCCTCTGCATGACCTCCTGCAGCAAGGCGCTGATGGTGTGAGACATCCGCTTCAGCCTCTCAGATACCTGGTCAATCATCAGTCAAATCACAAATCAATCACATGTCCAATCACAAGTGAAACAACAAGTCAAATCACAAGTTCGTTAACAACTTTAACCACAAGTCATATCACAAATTCAATCACAAGACCTACCTGATGTTTAATTACAAGTTATATCACAGGTCAATCGCAAGTCAAATGACAAGGTCAATCAGAAGTCAAATCACAAGTCAATCACAAGTCAAATCACAAGTCAAATCACAAGTCAATCACAAGTCAAATCACAAGCCAATCACAAGTCAAATCACAGGTCAAATCACAGGTCAAATCACAGGTCAAATCACAAGTCAATCACAAGTCAATCACAAATCACAAGTCAATCACAAGTCAATCACAAATCAATCACAAGTCAGTCATGAAACAAATATTGAGTCAAAAGTCAAATCATAAGTAAAATGAAAGGTCAAATCTCAAGTCAGCTACAAGTAACAAGGGGGAGCAATGACTACGACAATTCAACAGCTTGTTACATGAGCTGAAACTGGATGTGATTGATTGGCATTAACCTGTAAGACCTTAGTTGTATTAAGGAACACAGAGTACTTTTCCAATTTTCTTTTTTGAGTGATTTATCTTCAATTACCTGCTCAAAGACTCCAAAGACACGCAGTTCTTCGCAGGCCAGAGTGAGGAACAATGGTAAGTTGGCTTCTCTCTTGGCAACCAGTAACTTCATCTGCAAAGAGTGAATCAAAAAGTTCAAATGATGAATTTTGCCAAGTATTCTTAGTCTGTCTTTGTGTGTTGTCTGTAGGCTCTGCTGACTTTAACAGCGCTATACTCTATTCTACATGTAATAATTAAAATTACCCTCAATGCTTCAACTATAAATATAAGTATGTTTATTTATTTGTTTAGATTTTACATGATATTTGCATCTAGAGAGGGAGTGTAGTAAACCAGAATGCAAATTGGAAGACTGCCACAGCCATTTATTACACATCATCAGATACGGGTTCTACAGAATTCCTTGGCTTTTTTCTTGGAGTATCAACTGTCCAGGACTCCTTGTAAATTAACAAAATTCCATAACTTTTCCGTGAGCTTCAATGATAGTTTGAAATAACAGCATTTTTCAGGATTTTCCATGGCTGTGGGAACCCTGAAATAAATGTGATAATTGAATTCCATCTTATGAATAGTTAATAGTACCCGCTGCTATGTACATCAGATTCGAACCAGCCAACCGATCCTGTTAGCTCGGTAGTCGAGTGGTAAGACATCTGCACTAGAAAGCAGGAGGTCGTGGGTTCGAGTCCCACACGAGTGATTTTGTCCAACTTTCATTCGGGAGGTAACACACTGAGTATACAGTGTTTATACGTCGGTGAAGGGTAAAGCCTAATTTGACACTGAATTCCAGGGACACTATAGGCATTTTCTTCTCTCTCAATAAAAAAAAGTCATGTTCTTGCCTGGTTGTTGAACGGGGACTCATCCAGTGTCTTACGGTGGACGGCCAGCATGCGTCTCACCACGGTGGCCTTGTCCAGCAGGTCAAGTGGGCCAAGGGTCAGAGTTGAGGGGTTACGGCGAAGCAGTGCCTTGTGGGATTGACTGTCCACGACGGTGCTGACCACAAACATCACATCCTGGTGGGGGAAGCAACAACAAAATCGTACGTTTTTACCACGTTTGTAGTTGAGCCTATTCTGTGTCTTATGCTGAAATATAAGCTGGTACATTATACAGATAATGAATGTTTATTAGTGCAATGGTAAGAGTAATTTCAGTCTCCGAATGAAATTAATTTTCTTCTATCACACTAATATGAAACCTTTTTTTTTTTATTATTATTTGCTTTATACAACGCCTGAACTAATCCTCTGAACGTGTCATCTGTAATGGAACTTGTATTTCTACGATGCAGTCTGGCCGTGGGTTTGGGAGAATAATTCAGTGATGTGTGATCAGAACTGATAATGTACGGACCAGTCTGCTGGCAAAGTGGATCTGTTTGAGCCCAAAACACCAGAGGGTTGCAGATGTCCAAGAAAGAAAAAAAAGGATTTTTTTTTTTTGTTGGAACAAAACAAACAAGTTGAAAATGTATTCGGTAAAAAAAATAAATTAGTTGAAGAACATGGAGAGTGCAACTTTAAAAAAGTTGGAAGTTTCAGCTAAGGAAAATGAATTCTACCTTTGGGATATCCTTTGGCAGCCATTCCATGTTGTTGGCCTGATACGCCTCCTCCATCTGATCAAGCCCGTCCAGAAATATCACCAACGGGGAACTCCCACAATGCACTGCAGCACCCTTCAGGAACTCAGGGAACTTGGTCACCAGTTTGCTGTAATTAGAACAATAATGACACCAGGTTTGTTTGGAGAACAATATGCAGGTTGTGGAGTTAACAAAAAGAATCTTGGCTATGTTTAGAGAGAGAACACCACCTTCGCTGGATAATTTTGCAAGAATTACTTGCACTGAAATTTAGAACACGATACCAGAAAGAGCACAGCACTCACTTGAAGTCTTCTGGTATGGTGAGAGTGAGAGCAAATCGCTTCTTGAGCTCCAGGCACAGGCGTCGCAGCACGGCCAGGACGTTGCTGGATCCCACCGCTGCACCCACAAAGTGAACCAAGACGTGGTTACCGTCAGACTCCAATATCTTGTTCTTGTAGCGCTGGGCCAGGCAGGACTGGGAGGAAAAACATGAAAAGAAAACAAAAAAATAACAAATATGCATCAAGGGAATAAATCATAAACTAACTCACAAGGGAAAACAATGGAGGTAGTGTTTTCAAACTTCAACAAGAAATTAGAATACATTTACGACTTATGTGGAACTGCACAGTAACTGGTGCCAGCCTTTGTTTAGTGTTGGCTAAACATTTAAACAGCTCGTGAAAGTTTTGTTAAATACTCATCAAATCAAATGTGAATTCCTATCTTTGGTTGAAAAAAATGAATTGTCCCCAACATCCAGCCTGTTACTCTCTGTACTGCCCCAAACCGCCCCAGCACTGTATGGTTTTATGGATTCATCAGGGAATAAATACAATGTAATGCAATGTAATACAATGTAATACAATGTCATACAATGTCATACAATGTAATACAATGTAATACAATGTCATACAATCTAGTACAATGTCATACAATGTCATACAATGTAGTACAATGTCATACAATGTCATACAATGTCGTACAATGTCATACAATGTCGTACAATGTCATACAATGTCATACAATGTCATACAATGTCATACAATGTCATACAATGTCATACAATGTCATACAATGTAGTACAATGTCATACAATGTCATACAATGTCATACAATGTAGTTCATGTGCTAATGGGTAAATGGCATTTTTGCAATGTCTTCATTTATTCTTTCTTCTTTTTCCTTACTGTGAGGGCAGTCTTTCCACAGCCGCTCTTTCCGCAGATGACCATCAGCCCTTTGTGGCAGGCGTCCATCAGGTCCAGGCACTGCCGCAGCTGGGTCTTACGGCCGCTGAAGCCGGCGACGTGGGCCTCCAGGAAGGCCTGATGGAGGGCTCCCTCGTGTGACAGCTCGTCCAAGAAGGCTTCCTGGATGATTCAAAGACAAAGATATGGTGAGTATAATTTGGGAGAAGTTTGAGGATATGCCATGCGCATGAACGCACAGAGAGACGGCGCAGGGAGATGGGCACAAGACGCTCGCATGTTAATTACAACCAGAGCGGGCATTTGTGTAAAATAACGTAACATGTAACATTCCGTAAGCTATTTTAGCCCGAATGACCTTTGACCTGGACTACTTCATAGAGATACCAAACTGGCTAATTCTTAAGCAATCTGAAAGGATATCCTGTCACTTTGACTCCTATTTGCTCTTTTTTTTAATTTTAATTTGTAACCCTCACCTTCAGTAGTTCTTGGCCTTTGTTTGGGCATTTACAAGTGAAAGAAAACATCAGCTACAATCAGCAGTTTTCTTTAATTGGAAATATTTCTACAAAAGTTTGGCCTTGTTTACCTCTTCAGGAAAATGTTTGACGAATGAGTTCCACAAGTTGTTGACGACGCGCATACCCATCTCTTCCAAGTTGGTGGTAACGGGTTTGTGGTCCACGACCCCACCAAACCGGCACGGATATCTGGAAAGAGAGAGATATGGGGATACATGTTGTAATGGAGCAGACAGTCTTTATGAGGTATTTATGAATATCTTAGCAGGAAGAATTACTGTGAAGGCTTGTCCACTTTCCCAACATATGTGATTGTTAGCTTATTTAGACATTTGCTGGAAAAAAACTAATTTATGAGAGAAAAATATTCAAAAAAAGTTTGAGGTTATTATTCGTTTTATCAATATCTAATGTCAAGTTGGCAACAGAACTGCTGCAAGAAGATACATCATAAAAATGCTTCACACTCAAGTTTGTGATGTTTAAATGATCCAAACAAAATTCTAGAGTTTGAGAATGTCAAATACATAAACAAGTTTACCACAGCTTTCTACATCCAAATTGAATTTGTAAAAAAGTCTACAACTGTAGACCAAAATTTGACAACCAGTTTGGCAAGTCACAGAAAATGAAGCCAATGTTATTTTTTCCTTGGCTTTTTGAAACAAAAATAATTTTTGGGGGGAGCCAAGGAAGTTCCATTTGTAAAAACAAATTGAAGACATCTTACCCATCAAAGACCTCCAGCCCGCTGCATCGCACTCGCTGCTTGAGATTCTCTATCTTCTCTGATGCTGCGTTTGACTCAGCTTGGAATGCTGACTGGCAGGAAGAGGGAACCTCACTGAAAAATGAAGGACAAACACCAAACCAATAAAAAACACAGATAAAACGTAGCTTGCCAGATACTACATGGTCTGTTTTAGCTTGTCAACCAATACTTGATTTGTAGGGAACAATCAAGGTAACTTGACGTTTCTGTTCAATTCTTTGAATCATGTCACTCAAACTTAAAGAAGATGGTGATCAGGGCTTTCAAAAAAAGGACATAAAAGTACTAGTTCCACTTTCCAACTATAAACTCCAAGAATTTGGTGGCAAAAGTGTTAAATACTTTTGATAAACAATTTTTTTTTAAGAAGAGAGACTTGGTAATATGAAAACCGGTACCAGTAGTGTCTCTTGGGAAAATATCAATGTTCTTTTGCATACTTTCTCAAATGGTATCTATTTTGTACAAAGGAAAAACGATTCATGATTTTTATGTTTTTCCTGGGGGATCATTTTTTGATAATAACAGAGGTTTCTAAATGAACTGCATTTTGGTTTGCATGGTACCACGTGAAACATTGAGACTGATGTTAAGACCATATATGCAGAATGTCGACTTTGACATTGAAAAATGTTCTCTTCAAGGCAAATTCCTAGCACACTGTATGTTAAATCATCCGAATTTTCTGGAGTCGAAATTTTTTTGGTCAACTTTGCCCATTAGTACTTTCACAAAAATGTGTTACACTGTATTAATTCCTTGATGAACCAATAATATCACACAGTGCTGTGCTTTTGGGAGGCACAGGAAGTAACCTTCAGTTATGACTTACGCCATAAAATCACTGTTTCTGAAGTAGAAGAACGCCCTTCCCACAGCCATCTGCGGGTCGCACAGCGCCGCGTGCTGCATCTCAAGCTCAGTGATGGAACGCCCGGCCGGGTAGTCCTGCAGCCAATCAAACTCCTCCGTGGCCGGCGCCGTGTAGGCCTCTGGGCAGAAGCCGTAACGCTTCCCCAAGATTCCGATGAAGTAGTTGCAGCGAGACACCTCTGTCAGGCAAATCTCCAGCGATCTGTAAGTAAGAGAAGTTTGACACAATTTGCCATTATCTAGTGGTGTAAAGGAATGACAATTCTTGAATCATTGTCACTCATTTGGAATTATAAACTCAGGTGTGCGTACTTCCTGCCGACATGTGTCATGTGCGTGCCCAAGCACTCTGTCTTCCCCATAGACCATTATCATAAGGCAGCCATGTCTCCATCAATGTAACCAAAGCGAGGCTGGAAGGAAAAATAGTCTGGCTCCTTTTTGCACAAAAACATTATCCTTCAGTACTGTTATTGGATACAAAAAACATGACTGAAATGGTGGCAGCATGATAAAGGTCTATTGGTGGTAACGAAGAACAATGTGCTATCTATGCATGGAGTTCCATAAAATCAAGCCCAGGTCTCTAGTCAACTGTAAGTTACTAGCAACCTGAAGCGATCTGTGCAGAACACAGATACTTCCATTTTAGGCCCACCTACCTGTTTTGCCTCGTCTCCTCTTCAGTCACGCCCCATCTCAGATCCACCTCATACACATTGAGGAAGAGCTTCTTGGCCCGAGCCCGCAACTCAGGGAAGACAAAGCGGGTCAGCAGGTCACGCTCGCCGTGCATGTCACGGAACGTGGAGGAGATGAACACGCGAGCCGTCCGCCATCTAACAAGCAAACAAAAGAATCACCGTCAAGCAGGATTTTGGGCTGGTTTACCCTGTAATCTTTTTTAATAGCATGTAACACCACACACTGGGCCATTCTGGATTGGCTACATGCCCTGCCCAACTTTGGCGTGTGAGCATTTCTCATAGTGCTAACGCACGAAATTGACATGCCTACCATGAACAAAAGTGGTGACCTATATCGGTCAATGTGCATTGTTTGAAGGGTTCCCTACACATCATAAAAACAAAATTTGCTGAGTTTTCCAAAATTCCATGAGAAATATTTTCTCTTTAACAAGGTTGCAGGGAACTCAAGAGGTGGTTGCAAGAAAGCAACTAGGATACTGATTATACAGGGACAACTTTCACACTGAATAAACGCTGAAAAGCCACCATAACCAGTCAGGGATCACGCCCTAAAGTCATGATGCTAGCAATATAAGCAATGTCGCAAACTTGGGAAATAGCAAACAGGGATCGCTCAGAGAGTTCTTAGATTTTCTGACCTGTGTACAGGGGCAGCAATGGGCAGTGGGGTCTCTGGACTGGTGGCAGCAGATGCTTGGTTGGAATCAGTACGTCCAATTGCTGCAACCTGAGTAGAATAACAACACAAACGGAAAAAAAACACCGTTGAGTGACAGAATCTAGAAATCAGACTTTAAACCCTATGTCTTTTAACCTAGTGAAAGGGTCTGTGTTTCTTGAGTACTTCAGCTAAACCCTGTGCTCAAATATCTCTTACCATTTCACTAGCTTGCCTAAAGTTTTACAAGATTGTAGATTTATTGTGCAATTTTTTTTTCATTCATGACAGGTTCTTGCAAAATCAGACGGAACTGGACAAGGTTGTAGCAAAAGGAAATCTTTTTTAATTGTATGTATTTGTTTTATTTTATTTATTGATATATTTATTAATTTTTTTTTTTTGGGGGGGGGTGTAGGGAGGGGGGTGTAGGAGGGGGGTGTAGGAGGGTGTGTGGGGGGGGGGGACGAATCAGTCAACATCAAGGACATTCAAAAGTTTCAGCAGCAAGTCAGGGAATCAGTCAGGGAACCAGACTAAAAATAATGTACGACCGAAAAAAGTAGTGGTTTCAAAAAAGTTATCATGTTAGTTTGTACAATCTCCACTTCAGAAACAACAAAGAAATCCAACAATTCCATTTTATGAATAACAAAATCCAACAACTCCATCTTATGAATAACAAAGAAATTGCTTCATTTTAATGGAAAACTTCAATATGTGTCAATGTAAAGTAAGAACATACCTGAAGTTCTCGGAGACCATAGGCCTTGTCAATGTTCTCCACGTGATTCAGTTGGCCGCTGTCGCCTCGCTCAGCTATGAATCGCAGGATGTTATCGCTGTAACCAGTCACACTGATGTCATTTGGGTGGCTGGGCTTTTTAGCTGGCTTTTCCTTCCTTCAGGGTTTAAAAAAAAAAGTCTAAAAAAAATCACAAATATAGTTTAAAGGCATATCAGATCAGTTGCTTTCTTTGGCTTTCTTTTCTTTTCCAATTATTTCCAATAATATCACTTTTCAAAATCCAAAGAAGAACCTGCTAAAGTTTCAGATCAGTGGATATTACATTTTGCAAGAAAAAAGTGAAAAATCATGCACAACTTTTTGATCACAAAACACGATTTTGTCAACGGTACTCAACATTAAGTCAGTCAATTGTCTGACTTGTTGGATATCACCTACACTTCTTGATTTCTCCTAAACGACAGCAAGTCAGATGGAATAATTCATGCGGTGTTTATTGCCAGTATGATTTTAATCCAAGAAAGCGATTTTTTATAACAATTTCGTCAGTCACACCACAAAGTGACGTATCGTGTGCACAAAGTCCACAGACGATACGTTAGTTCGTGGTGCACCCAATGATTTGGTAGGATACTTTTAGGATCAATACGAATGATGTGTCTTTTTTGTGACCTTTCCCTTCAAACAATACTTTTTGGCCAAACTCGCCAATGTGAAAATTGTCTGAGTATTTGTGATAAGGCCCATGTGGTCTTCTTCCTGCTCAACCACTGACTCTTTGGTTCTTTTAGAGACTTTTTGGTTCCATCCGCCTCGTAACTCGGCTTCTACGAACCGAAGGAATTGTGAGCGTACCTCATGTGCGATATACTCAAGTTAAGGCACACCTGTGAAGTGTGCTAAGCATTTATTGGGTTGAGTACTAAATGATTATGAAAACCTTCAAGGGCACACGTAGTGACCATATTGCCATTTGGTTAAGTATTAGCATATTTAAGTGAAAATAAGCCCTACTGTCTGGTTCACAACACACGACGTAGTTGCTAACCAAATGCTGGCACACTGCAATGGTGGCTGACCATGAGTAAACCGGGCGGTCACATGGATCTTTGACATAGTACGATGGGAACATATGTGCTGCGTTTCGGGAACAAACCAAAATCCAGTCTGAAACCAAAATAGTAGAGCAAATATAGAGACAATCTTACCAGGAATAAGAGGAGGTCAGATCAATCTGGACATACATCAGGTTGGGGTTGACCAGCTGACGGTACTTGGCCACAAAGTCCTCCATCTCATTCCAGCCCGTCCCGTCCTCCGTGTAGTCCTGCCCGACAATGATCAGGTTGTCGATGTGGACGCGGTCGCGCAGCGCCTCGTACAAGGTGGTCATGTTTAACTTGCTGGGCGGGGCATTCCAGTGGTCCTCCATGTCACCATCAGCAGCCTGTGAAGTAAAACTCAATGCTTAATGCATTACTGATTGTTGTCAAATTCATCAACAAGTCAATCATGAGTCCAGTCACAAGTACAGTAAACTCTCGTCAAGTCAAATCTCAAGGGAATGGATACAATTTTTTAGGTATTCGGAGTTTGAGTTAAGCAAGTTTCCCGATTTTTTTACAATCAAGTCTGATTTACACATACATGTATAGAGGAATCCAGCGACCAGAATTAGAAGCTTTTAAGACAAGATAAGTTTGCGGTAGCACCATGTGAATAAATCTCTTTCCTGAGTATGTGAGGTTCTGAAAAGAACCGGAGGGACTCAACGTTTCGAACAGTATGCTCTGCCTGTCGTCAGGAGAATGAGGGATTCCAACAATGATGCGATGTTGGAATGCTGATCATCGCATCATCGTTGGAATCCCTCATTCTCCTGACGATGGGCAGAGCATACTGTTCGAAACGTTGAGTCCCTCCGGTTCTTTTCAGAACCACACATACTCACAAAAGAGATTTATTCACATGGTGCTACCGCAAACTTATCTTGTCTTAGTATCTTTCCACCATGCAAACCTTCAAATCTCATCATAGAAGCTTTTACTGCGGTGGTGTGACGCTCACGCGCATGCTTCATGCGTTCTTAAAGACGAGGCGCACATGCATTTTGGTATTCCTATTGGAGGAAGGGGCCCGGAATGCATGTGTACATGAATTATATTCCTACCTACCTATATATACCTGTATATTGTAAAGAAACGAAAAAATGAAAATGAAAACTGTATCGCCATCTTTACAATTTGCAGCCACAGGCACTCAATTTGAACAATGTATTACTCCTATTTCGTGGAATCCGGTCACATATTGTGTTTATTTGTCTTGAATTACCTTTGCATATTCAACGATGCTTTTGACATTGTCCAGGAGCGTTCCCTTCTCCAGTTCAATGACCTTCTGGTCGTTGACCCCATAGCTGACCAAGATGCACTCCTCGCAAGAGTGTTTACACATAAGACCCAGCAGGAGGCCGTTCTCTCTAGTCTAGGAGAAAAACAAGAAGTAACCAAAGCTCTTGAGAAGAAAATATCGCAGAGCAAATTGTTTGTGCTACTCATCAGGAGCAAACTCAACTACATGGGCTGTTTGTATGTTCCTTCACTAACCCCTGGCTGTGCAGAATACGAAACCGATGCTGATTGACTATTGCGTCATTCTTTAAATTTGGGGTTCACTTTTTTTCCCGTCCCTGTTACATCTGACATCTATGATTGTATAATTCTGATGCACTCTTTAATGCAGTCATCCTCCAAGAGTGATTATGAATAGCAAACTACCTACCCAACAAATAAACAGTCATTTGAAGTCACTTTTAATGATGCTTGAATGGCAAATTACAAAGTACCAAGGTAACAGGGACGGGATAAATGTCACACTTTGGACCCCAAATTTATAGAATGACCCTATTCAGAGCGTACTGGGCGCATATTTCGAAGGCTGCACGCCCTACATGCACTCGCGTTATCTCCTACATGTCAGGTCTTGTATTAACATTTTTTTTGTCAAGAATGCGCGATCCCTCTACAATATGGAAATATAATTCAATGCTGCAGACCACGAGGCCATGGCACTCTACTCAAATGTCGTCACAACTGACCGGGGGGGGGGGGGTCTTTTTTACCCCGTTTCAAAGGTCATGAGGAATCCATGGCTGACTGAGTTTTCAAACATCCACAGGCGAACCACACTGTACCTTGTCCATTCCAGATCCACCAGTATACATATCCATCTTGGGCCCGATGTCACAGAGTAAGTAGGTTTTACCCCGGATGGGTTTGATGTTGTGACGTGTGGCTATCTTGACGGCAGTGTCCAGTGCCTTGCGGTAACGAACCAGTAACTCCTTGGTGTACTTGAGCTCTCTATATTTAAAAACAAACAAACAGTTAGTCATGAAACGGTTGTATGATTGAGTTTTTCTGTACGGTCGATAGACACGGCGAGTTTTTCAAATCACTTATTACACACATGTATACTTGACATTGCGCATTACTCTAACCCCTAATCAGAAAGGGACAAATTGTTAAAAATCTTATTTTCATAACATTGAAAAAACATGTTTTTATTATAGCCAAACTTGTAAAGCCTCGAGTCACTCAATTCACTCAATTCTGACTTGAGTCGTGTTTTTGTTGGTAACTCAACTCAACTTGAGACATGACAGCCCAAGTCACGGTAAACAACAGACTAGAATCAAAGGCTCATCAACATGAAGCCCTTAAAAATACATGACTCACTCAATTTGAGTTGCTGCCTTAGAATGATTTGACTTGACTACACACAATTCAGTGACTTGTAACGACAATGATTTTTCTGGCATTTGTGTTGAACACAATCACGTTTTTATTTTGATTCCTAATGGATGACATCTGGATTCAGTTAACAGATTCTTAGATTTTAACGTAAATCAGGTTACTCACGTTGGTTTTCCAACATTTCGGTTTCCCCATTGACCCCGACCTCTGCCACCACGCCCGCCAGCACCACGCCCGCGACCTCGCCCGCGACCACGCCCACGGCCGCGCCCACGACCTCGCCCACGACCTCGTCCATAGCCCAAGTCATCCTCCTCAGGTTGGATCTCACCTGAAGCTGTAGGGAAAAAATGCAACAATAAAGAAATGCAACAACAAATTTTAACAATCTAAAAAAAAAAAAGGAAAAAAAGGATGTTGGTACTTGTTGGTATTTGTTTCTGTGCACAATTTCACTGATGGCAAATGGTACAATGATTCAGCACCATATTTAAACATTTCTAAAAACAGCACAAAATGGAGCTTTACATCAGTCTAGATGACTATTACATGGTGTCCAAGATTATAGTCTGGCCGAACCTGGCCAAAATCAACTGCTGCGTCGAGGCAAGAGAATTGAAGTCGAGTCCGGTACAACTCCGTCACAAGTCTGGTCAAAAGTAACTCACAAGTTCTTTTACAAGTATTAACAGATGATGAACCATAACAAAGGAATGTCCGAGTCACAGTTCACTAGAATAGACTGTGACTTGACTTCAAACTGGAGGACTAATTAGGACCTACGATGGACCAAATTGCAACATTGAGGCAAATGTCCTGATCACTTCAAAGCAAGTTTGGAAGCCCAAAAATGGAAAACGCCATCATTGTATCAAGTGCAGATGACAAATCCTTCATTGCTGTACTGACAAAGAAAATAAATCAACCTAGTTTTTCCTGCATTTCCAGATTGAGCTGCATAGTATCCAGCACGTCGTAAGCAGAGAAGAATCGGACAGGGAACTGCCTGCTGTTGATGACAGACTTTTCATCGGTGAGCCTGCGGAGGATGGAAGCATGGTATTTTGGCCCGACCCCCGCCTGTAGCATGTTACGTAGGTTTCTCAACATGGCCATGAAGGGCAGTTTCTTGTGGTCTGCAATAAAAATAAAAGTATCGAGTCTTTAAGGAAATGATATTTGGAAATGCTGACGTAAGGCACAAACTACATTAATCATTAATCAGAGGTTCCCATAAAGGCATAGGATCACTTGCACAAAAGTAATCTACCAAACTATTTTCAAAAAAGCTTACTTGGCCTGGTGAAATTAATTGTCTGGCTTGCTGTCATTTCGAAGAAATGTAGGTGAATTCCAATGGCTAGTCAATTGACTGATTTTGTTTAATAAAGAGAGCTACCAAAGAAATAGCGTTTCGTGATCTAAAGGTTTTGCAAGGTTTTCACTGTTTTCCCAAGAAAATTAATACCCACTGAGCTCAAACTTCAACAGGTATAAGTGGTGTTATTATTGGAAACGAACAACATGCATGAAAAGCTAATGATCCTATATGTCTTTAACCAAGGTTTACTGATAACTTCACATATATGTAATGAAGATGTGACCTCTGACCCACCTATTAAGTCCTCCCATGTAGAGGCCTTGTTTCCCTTCAGTGACACTTGGGTCTCCCAAGTCTCTGGGGTAGGCAGTTTCATGCGCTTGCCTGCACGGTCTGGGTCCCAGGTCCCCGGTAGGCGAGTCTTGTAGAAAGCCTCCAGACTGTCAGGGTACCTGGAGAATAAGATATGCCAAATGTTTGTGGTGGATTTTGCAATATGTGACCTGCCATAGCATAATGAGGAATAACCCTCACCTTTGACTTTTCACGTTTTATATACATCATGTTAAAGCGCAAATCATTGGCTTTCCAATGATACCAAATTTATTGCTATATAGCTTAATTTATTCCAAAGATATGACGCAGGAACTTCAACAGTGTCCTGCCAAGTTTCTCTAACCTCATTTTGTGAAAAACGGCTTTGAAAAAAAAGTCATGCATTGCGCAGCCAACGGCAGTGAGAAATGTTCTTTATTCTTTCCACTTTTTGGGTTATTTTTTCCCAACAAAAATGCATAGTGTGAATCTTGGATACCTTGGCTACTCAAAAATACAAAACACAAAAATACAAAACAATCAAAAACGATTTTTCACATGATTTTTCTAGTATATCCGACTTCAGGCGTTGATTGCTCAAAACAAAGTTTTGGGGGACATTCCTCATTTTGCCTCAGTAGGTCACATATTCAGGGACTATTAGGGCTGTGCTGAATATACAGAATATTCCAATTTTGGATCCTTAACTATACTCTATGTTGGTTCACAAGTTACAATAAATGTCATGAAATCAACCCTAGGCCATAATGGACGTGATGTAAAAGCAGATACACCGAACAACAATATCTCACTTACTTCTTGCCAACAAGGCACATGACGCTCTCCACAGGCTCCATAACGTGGAGTTTCCTGATAAGCTGCTTGAGGGTGTAACTGTCGCAGAATCCATGCTCGTCCTGATAGTGGTCCTCCTCCACTGGCTCTGGTTCTATCTTCTCCGCGTCATCTTCCTCTTCATCATGTTCATGATGAAGAGGAAGATGACATGCCATCTTATAATGTTCATCGTCATCACCCTCGCTGTCGTCCTCGTCCTTGTCGTCTTGGTGATCCTCCTCCTTGCTTTGGCTCTTCTTTTTCTTACGGTCGATCTTCTTCTTCTTGGGCTTCTTGGTCTTGTTGTATTTGCCTTCATAAAGATGAGGGAGGAGGGGATTTACTTTTAAGACGTTTATGGACAGTAGATGCCACTTTGTGACCCTTCACAAGAATTTAATGGGGGGGGGGGGAGAAGGGGATCATGCATGCTGATTCCTGCACGTACTGAGCGGAGGATGTACGACAAATAGGGCTGTGCCAAATACATCAAATATTGGAATAGCTAATCATCCAGCATATGGATAATCCAGATAGCGTTTTTCCAGTAAGAATAATCTAAAAATGTGAGTGATCTTGAAAAGACGAGAAGTGCCTGTGTGTTTTGGTTACTTACCCAGTTGATAAGTATCGAAGTCCGGGAACTTTGCCACCATGACCTTCCTCAGAGCAGACGGTAGTGATCTGTAGCTCAGTTCCTTATCTTGAAATGACTGCAGGAAAACAAAGCAACAGAAAATAGAAACACACAATCCCATAAAAAAAAAAGGGGTTTACATTTTATGAAAACAGTCTCAAGATTATGTGTACCAGTGGAATTTAATCATGCAAAAGAACACCGCGTCTTGATCGCCTTCTATCACGAGTGTCCTCTGCAACCTGTTGATGTACTACAAATACATGGTAGCCAAATTGACCAATCAACAGCTTAGTCCACATGTCTGATCGAACTGACGTCACAATTTCTAACGTTGACTCCGATAAGCTGCACGCGGAGTTGCAAAAAATTTGCCCTGCAAGGATATATCAGACGTTCGTCGTGTGGCTCTTGTTAAAGGGAATATACATCATTTGCTTTTGCTGTAATTTTCAGAAATGGATGGAATTGGGGGGTTGGAAATATAAAGCAAATATAGTTACACTGACTTTTTGGAGGTTTTGGGTTCGAAAATGCTATAAAAACCAAGAAAAACGATCATTTTCCTGTAGTCTGGTTCCCTGACTCCATATAAGAAGAAACAGAGCAGTTTACATACATTTGGGAATTGTAAGGTCAGGGAACCAGTCTAGCTGGCTCGTACCCGTTCATAGGTTTGTAATCGATTGCAAACAAGTGCAATGGTCAATTGGGGCCAGTATTTGAAAAAAAAGCCAGTTGTTTCCAACGCTGATCGGCCGATCAGCGTTGGAAATTGATACAAAAATACCACTTTTCTTGAAAATGACAGTATACCAGGTGCCATAATTTTACAGGATGCTTTAGACTGTCATTTACCAACATCCTATTAAGGTATTTCGCAAAACTTGGTAGTTTTATTTTTCGATGTTTGCAAATGTTGTATATTCCCTTTAAGTGAAAGTCTGATACTCAGAATAGTCTTTCAAAAGCATTGTATTTTAACTTTATGCACTCATCTCATGTAATAAGGTTTGCAAGAAAATTAGCAATTTAACTTGGAAGTTGCCAAAAAACGGTAGTGAAGCGTTATGAATAAACCTGGGGGTGTTGCTTACAAGGTACAGATCGGCGACATGGGCCCAATCTGATGGCAGGGCTATGGACAGCTTGTAGTACTTCTTCAGGTAGGGTCGGCATTCCCGACGGTTAGAAGCCAATGCCAACAGGAAGTTGGCCGTGCTACGAATGTTCAGATCCTTCCTGGTGTACAACGCAACCTGTGCACAATGGAAATGGAAAATAAAACCTGTCACTGAATAAACGAGTGTGCAAGTCTCCCAACTTCACATTCATTTTCCATGCGAATGTCTTGGTATCAGACACTGACTAGTTTTGTCACAGACTCCGGTATTAGAATTTACTCATTGTTGCAGATCTGTGAGATCTTTTAAATGGAACTTGGGGTCATCATTTATTATTTTATTGTAATCATCAGTTTGCAATATTTTTCACATGTTGTGAATTTAGGCTATTCACAATGCAGTGCACATTGGGCAACTTCCATAAAACAAACAAGCAAACAAACAAACAAACAAACAACATCCCAAAGTCACAAACCTTCAGCAAAAACTCAGGGTCTATTTGGATGACTGAGTCTGCATTCTTCACGAGAGCTATTCTGGTTTCATCCTTTGGCTTTTTGAAGCTGGGATTGTTGACCAGGGAAGAACTGACGAGATTGATCAAGGATGTCTGTCAAGAAATGAGTTAAAAACAAACAAAGTTAGCCTACATAGAATTTCACGGAAGGATTATTATTAAAACCTAATAATCAGGTATGCAGGTAATAATCAGGTAACTAAATTTGGTAAATTGGAGGTAGTATTTGAAAAAAGTCATTTTTTTTTTAACGATGGTTGGCCAACCATCATTGGAAATAGATACAAACATTTCACTTTTCTTGAAAATGACAGCACACCAGGTGCCGTGATTTCACAGGATGCTTGAGACTATTATTCACTTACAGTCAAGTGAGGTATTCCATAATAATTTGGTAGTTTTGTTTTTTGATGTATGTTATGTAGTATTATAAAAACAAACATGTATGTTCTCCCATGGTTCTCCAAGCCTGGTTACTTGGTGTAAACACAGCGCTACACTTCATGTACTTGTGCTTGTATTGTTGTAAGGTTAGGAGGTGACTCATCGTGCAGATAAGCAAATAAATGCTGCATCATCAGAAAAAGTGACCAATGATGCAACATAGTGAAATACTGAAAGAAGCTCATGACTAAGTTCATGCAAATTACTTATACATTTGTCTTTGAAAAGCCTTGCTTCATGGGCAGATTTTTTTGGGGGGGGGGGTGGGGGGTGGGCTGACTACCACTGTCCATTCTTAATAGTATTTTTCTCCAAAAAAATATATAGTGGAATTTCTTAATTTTTCTGCAAGAGTAAAAATGCATAGTGTGGGGTGAACTGTAGAGAGTTTGACCCAAATATTGATATCTTAATTGAACATATTCTCAATAATGACAAATCAAAATCACTCTATACACCTATATTTATTGTAAAAAAACATAAATTCACTTACATTATGTCCAGTGCCAATACACAGTGCGTATGGGACCATTCTATAAATTGAGGGTCCAATGTGAGGCATTTTTCCCGTCCCTGTTACCTTGGTACTTTGTAATTTGCCATTGAGGTATCATCAAGAATAACTTCAAATGAATTTTTATTTGTTGGGTGGATAATTTGCTCTTCATAATAACTCTCGGAGGATGACTGCATAAAGGAGTGCCTAAGAATTATAAAATAGATGTGACATTCTGAACTGTCTGTATGAGGACTCACCTTTTTAGACTTGGCATCTTCAGATGAGATCATAAGTGACAAGACCTCCGGATCAACAGCCTCAAAGCACGTCTCGTCATCCAAGTCCCAGAATTGGTCCTCCGCATCCCCGAAATCACCGTGAAAGTTGTACTCAGGAATCTCAAAGTCTGCGGCTAGCTCGGCTAGATGTACGCTGCTCTCTGCAACTTTCTTATGCTGGGCTGGACGTGGATGCTGTGACGGTATCTGGCGATGAACAGGGCGATGTTTTACTAGCCTGGCCTGAGCTCTGGAAGATACTTCTTTGGTCAGGGTACTGCTTGTTGGCAGACGTGGACTCTTCGCTGAGAGAAGTGTCGACTTGCTGGAGACTGCCGATGTTGGTGGTTTGCCAAACAGGCTTCCTAGCTTCGACGATGTGCTACTCAGTGAAGAGGATGACGTCAAGGGGGTCAGATTAGAGCCAAGCAGGAGACGGTTGTGCCGAAGGCTTAGGCTCTCCTGCTTCATACTGACAGACACCGGCTTGGATGCTGCATGGGAACCCAGAACATTCTTGTCCCTGGTCCCCGTGGTCGGTGCATCCTTGGTCTTGCTTGTCTGCAGAAGGGGGTTGCTGAGCAAAAGAGAAGAGCTTTTTCCGATGCCTGCGCCAGGACCTCCCTTTCCAGTGAGACTCGACGCAAGAAGGGGATTGTCTAAACGCTGACGGAGTTCCGTCTTCATGGTGGAACTTCGACAATTCTACCTTCCAACTTGTACTTCAGGAGCACATTTACCTGTGTTTGACACAAAATAAGTTGAGTCAGTTGCATCCTGGGGATTGTTAGGAGACCATTTTTACTTCGTTTTTTTTCTTTCTTAAGTAATGTTCATGTATGTACGCGTTGCTGCTTTACTCATGATCATTGTTTCCTGTTTATCTCCATACTGAATGACATTTGAGTTAAACATAGACCTAACCATGCTCAACATAAATCCATTTCAAAGCTTGTTGGAAAGAATGTTGCAACCTGACGCCACTTCAGCGGTTGTGTACAAAGTCTATCATGTCTATGGAGAGTCAATAACATTTTCAAAGTATTTCCTAACAAAATTGGAAATGTTTAACTCAGTCCTAGATTTATGTCTTATCATCATTTTTGCAATGACTGACCTTTATTGACATGATTGACATGATATATGAAGAAATAAAGCAGAATCAGGTTGCAACATTCTTTCCCAAGGCTTGAGGCTGAGGCTGACATGGCCAGCTGAGGCTGAGCTACTTCTACAAACTGCATTGCACACCGTATTTATAGTATAGGCCTAGCTAGGCCTACAACTAGTTTTACTTGCTCCCACAAATCATTTGTGTTTTTTTTTACATTTCGATGTGATCATCACATCCAAATATTAAAAAAGGAATTTTGTAGGTTTCAATAAAACTCGAACTAGTGCACAGCAAAATAAGAAGGGGGGAAAAAGCAAAATTACCTACACAGAACGTTAGCAATCCTATTCCTAGTGACAGTGCAGTGTACTTCCTAGCTCAGCTTCGTGCATGCAACAAGCGACGATTAAATGATACACAGTCACAGATACAGCCGCACTCTATCTGGCATGTCTGGCCTAGCTAGCTACTTAAAAGTACCCGACAAATTGCAAACACTGTCATCATCTCATTCTCAGCCTCATCACTTCTGGAATCTTCTGTCTCATGAATTCTCTTTATTGCTGACTTGCAATTTGGTAAAAAACAAAACCAAGACAACGATGTATTGCACCACCAAACGACCCGCATTGCCGGCGGTTGCACCACCCACTTTCAACAGAGGTCTGGTTCTCTAAGACAACATAACTAAAACTCACGTAAACTTTTTCATGGTGTCAGACTTGAAATACAAGGGAAGCCTTTTAGACTTGTTATTGGTCCTTTCGTCATCAGCTGAATGGATGGAGCCGGAAACAAGTTGGGGGGGGGGGGGGGGCAAGGGAGCACAGGCCAGAAACCCCTCACCCCTTAGTTATGTCAATTAGCTGACGTACAATCAAAATAAGAATAGAAATTAGACTTGCAATAGCCAAACTGGGATGAAACTCATCACTCTTTTTCCAAGTAGAGTATAATACGTATTATCATGACACCGGATGAGCCACGTCCTACAAAATAATAGGTCTAGTAACGCCTATTATTTATTATTATTAGGGAAATGAAAGCACAAGCAACTTCAAACCATAGAGCAAGGAACAGATGTTCAAACTTGTTGTACTAGGTCCTAGTAATAGCCTCCCCCGCTTGGTAGTGGTAGATTTAATTTTCAGAACGTATATTTACAATAGATTGCCCGCTTTGAACAGCGCCCCCATTGAATCAGATAGTTCGATCCCCATCCCTCCACCTCGCCAGGGGCGGATCTGGCTTTCAGGAGGGGGATTATCCCTCTGACCACCTGACCCTAGCTGTAGTCAGCTGGGTACAAGTTGAACTGTTTTCTAGAATCGAACTAGATGTTATTACAGTGTATAGTTTGCAGGTCGGTATTGGTAAAACACCCCGACTGTCCGCCTTGCTGTTCCATCACTGCTGATCCTAACAATGTAGGCTTGAATCCCCCCCCCCCGCCACTCATGCAGCAGACAATATTACTGCGTCACTGCGAACTTTTTCCTCAATTTGGGCAAAACACTCAACGTTTCTCAAACACAAACTCCACAAAATGTCCCTGGGATCCTGGGAAAAAGTTTCAAAGGCGGAGGGAGGGGAGGGGATACCGGGACACGGGAGGGGGGGGGGGCGGGGACTATAAGGGACGTTATTATTGTTAAAAAATTTTTTTTTTAAATTACGTTTTTTATGTTACTGTCATTTTTATGCGAAGTTTTCAATGAAGATTCAAAATTGAGAGGAAATTCATATAGTAGGGGTGGGCGCCACTCCATTTTAGCTGTGGTCATACCGGAGGTGCCGCTAATCTCATGAAATAAATTTAAAAAGGGAACAACCAATAAACCACGCAAAGGAATGCAAATCTTTGTGGCCGCTCCCACTCACACCTACAGTTCATTTGATTAAGTATGCGCTTTTAATCAGCGGGATTGAATGGAAGGTTATCTATCGGAAATGTATATAAACTTACTCTTGTGTATTTTGGTTATTAATGATATTTGTTCAGTGGAGATTCAAGAGGAGACATAATAAATGGGTCTATCCCACCGATAGCCCGAGCAGAGTTTACAACCAAGATAAGGGCAATGGACAAGAGATCAGTGGTCTGTGTCCTGTAATTTTGGAAGTTTCTTGCTCTATGATAAATCACAAAACTGCATTGTGCCAGCAGAACTGGACTGTAATTGTCCTCAAATTTTCAGACTAAAAATAAAGTAAGCTTATTAGTTATATAATAGCCCTAGTCCGAGTCTTGCAAATTCTTTGACAAAAAGAATAACCGGACGAGATTGCAGCTTTAACGACGGAAAATAATAAATGCTCAGTATCTATCATTTAGCCTGCCGATTTTCGGATCACACCAAGTCCTTCGTTTGTCACCATAAATCAAAACACCTCCCGAAGTAAAAACCTCCGCTAGTTTTTACATACGCGTTTCTGACGATATACACGCCTAAATATCCGAAACCTAATATCATTGCTTCAGTTCATTCAAATAAACCCTGTGTTTTCCAAAGCACACGGTCCAGACCATAATTATTTCTCAGCAGTAAAACCACATGCTGTCAGAAATTATGACAGTGAGCACGCACGCACGCATACCTTGCTGGCTATGGAAACAGACGCATGTGCTTAGCAACCACCACCACCACCGTCACCTGGACATGCGCACGATGGGACTCGGCTGCAGCCACATGTGATCTAGCAACATAGGACCCGCCCTTTCAGTGACGGACTTTGGGACCAATTTTCAAAAATCGCCGCCTCCAAAGTCTAAAAAGGACCCGACAGATTCATTGAAATATGGCGCAAACGATCTCTGAAAAAAAAACCTTGGTATTAATTGTGGTTGTTATCAGATGAGTGGTACAAGGATCGTATAAGGGCGCGAGTCTATAAGGGGTGCGGTACAATAAAACCGAGGGGTGAGAAATACCAGCAGTTTTTGCGGGGAAATTTAACGGCCTTGAAAAGAGAGGATAATTTCTTCTCCTCGCAAGCAAGAAATTCGTCTTACACCTGGAAGGAATTAAAGCCCAAAGTACATCTAACTTCATCATAGCTGTACTCGTGTCGACGACTTTAAGACAATTTCAACCAGAAACGGTAAGTGAGAAAATTTAGTAAGTTGTAAAAACATGTTCTTTATTAACATGTGAGTGAAAACTCGATCTAATTGAATGATTTTCACTCTAAAACGTCTGGTCCAATGGAGTGAATTTTCTCTCTTTGGGAATCAAAGGGTAGACTCTAAGGCCAAAAAAAAAAGTCTTCGGTTTCTGGTATGGAGCTTGCCCAAAAAGTGGTGCGGCGACGCGGATTTTTTTTTTTTTTACCTGATTTTTTGCTTCAAATGTCGGCTGATGACTGCAAATGGTGCCCGACTAAACTTAGTACAAATATATGGGAGTCCAGAGAGGCCACATAAAGCTTATTCTCGACCATAACCCATTCTAAAAACACGTTAAAATTGTGCAGCAGCTGGATTCCAGTCAAACCAGTGAGTTTGGCGGTTTTGAGACATCATCTTTCATTGAAAAAAAACTTTTTCATTTTGCCGACGCGCATGGCTACGGCGACGCGCGCGCATACCAGAAACCGGAGACTTTTTTTTTTTGGCCTAAGCGATTTTTTTTTTTACAGATTAATGACATTAATGTTGATGTGGTAATTTCTTTTCGTTGATTCTATCTTTCAGCTGGGCATTTGTTTGTGAACAACTCTATTATAGTGGTGGAAAAATTGCTACAAGGCAAGAGTAACTTGAGCAGTGTTGTATAAAAAGTGTATTACAGAACTATTCATAAGACGGAATTGGCGTCGGAGTGATGTAAATTCAATAATGCGTTTTGGCCTTCAGTTTCACCAATGGGTTTTACCCTTCGCCGACGTATTGAAGTATTAAAGAAAACAGGAAAATGTTGGTAGAACGTTATAGTGCGGTATGACGAAGATTGTTGGTTAGAATCCCCTTTCATTATTACAATTTTCATTTGGGCAAGAAGGGATCAACCGTCTGCTTTCTTTCTTGTATAGAATTCATGAATGTGTGCACATCTACAAACCATTGCACATAACTGCAGCGTATTTTCTTAATTTTATGGCTTACACAGGATTTCCCGATTATTGTTTCAGTTTGATGAAAAGATGCTTTAACAAATTTTGCACCGTTTGACCTTAGCCTATATTTCCAATTTCAAATTTTCAAGAATGCATTTCATTATTACATTTCATTATTATACAGTAATTCGTCCTAGTTTCCGCGTGTTCGTCTTTATGAGGAAAGCGTTGTATTGAATGAAACAGCTATAGATTTGTGGTGATGTTTTTTTCTGATTATTTTAAGTGGTTGAGTCCTTATACCATATCATGTACGTTCATTTTACTTGGTGGGAAATCCTGGGGGATTAAATCTGACACTTTAAAGCTATACAACATTCAAGATGCAGTATTTGGGGTGAGGTCTCCATGCATAATTTTCCTGTTCAATCTGTTCACATACATAGAATTAGAAACAGTCAACGAAAACGTGAATATATAACCCTTTTTAACAGAAGAAAATAAGAGTGGATAATATTTCACAAACATGCAAACAAATATTTCACAGACATATCAAAGATGGAAATATCAATCTGAAAATCGAAAACAAATCACCCCTTCGATTTTCTTTTTTTTCTTCATTTTTTCATTTTTTTAAAAAAAATATTCTCCACAACAGCCTGTGCTGAGTTTCGTCTCATTTTGCCAAACGAAATCGGCAACTTTTGAATCGGAAGCGCTATTATCTGAATCCACTCGAGATCCAAAAAAATGTGTCCATAGGCTCAGTCTCTGTTTCTCAAAATGTACATTATCAACCGAACCGAAAGTTCAACATATTTTTTGTTACGTACCCTTCTTGCGACTTTTTACAATTTCGTTTCAAACGAAGACAAAAATCACAGAGAGCAAAAGATCTAGTACCCGGCCCAGGGAAGTTCTAGAACGAAAGTAGAGGTATCTGTCCACAGATTTTACAATGATACAATTGACGGGAAACCAATACAAATACCAACAGAACTTAATTGCTTGTAGATATAATTCGTCGATCGTACCACGAACTGACCTATCTCAGTTTGTGTCATTTCGAGAAAAACGCGTTTGAAGTTGGGCCTTTTTTGCATCCACCCTTTCACCCACAACACAATTTTTTATTGACTCAGTTTTTATACATGATAAAGTTGGATAGTTGAATTATGATTTTAATTTTTTTTTTAAGGCAAAAACTCATTATGCGCGCGAACGGCGACCTATCTAGATAGGTCACTTCGTGAAAATTAATTTTTCATATTTCATGCGCGCGAACGGCGACCTATCCAGATAGGTCACTTCGTGAAACGAACAATTTCAATTTCGCTGTGGCTGATAGTGACTTATGTCATATGCGCATGCGCGCGCGAACCTCTTCACGTTAAGTTATATAGTGGAGCTGCTTAGGTCCATTTTTGGCCAAAATCGTGCACTTTGTGGTAAAAGCATGAACCTTGGCAGGTGGGGTCAAAATGGGCTAGAAATCATTTTAAGATCGGGACCCATCCTGGATCTTGCCCATTTTGTGGGCGGAGTTTGATTTTTTATAAATGAGGGTGCAAACAAAACAAACTTTGATAATTTTTTCTTTCCACGTGGACAAGAATT